GGAGGGGGTATCCGCACCCGACCCGCCCGTTTGCCATCCCTAGTGCCACTCGAGACAACACAAGTTCAACTTCACAACGAAGGGACGGCTGGTTGTCAACAAACAACTTCCCAAATTCAGAGCCAATTTCAACTTCACAGCGAAGGATATTGGACCCCATACAACACAAGTTCAACTTCACGACGAAGGGACCGCTGGTTGTCAACAAACAACTTCTCAATTTCAGAGCCAATTTCAACTTCACAACGAAGGATATTGGACTCCAGACAACGCAAGTTCAACTTCACGACGAAGGGACCGCTGGTTGTTAATAAACAATTTCCCAATTTCAGAGCCAATTTCAACTTCACAACGAAGGATATTGGACTCAAGACAACGCAAGTTCAACTTCATGACGAAGGGACCGCTGGTTGTCAATAAATAACTTCCCAATTTCATAGCCAATTTCAACTTCACAGCGAAGGATATTGGACTCCAGACAACGCAAGTTCAACTTCACGACGAAGGGACCGCTGGTTGTCAACAAACAACTTCTCAATTTCAGAGCCAATTTCAACTTCACAGCGAAGGATATTGGACTCGAGACAACGAAAGTTCAACTTCACGACGAAGGGACCGCTGGTTGTCAACAAATAATTTCCCAATTTAGGAGCCAATTTCAACTTCATAGCGAAAGATATTGGACTCCAGACAACGCAAGTTCAACTTCACGACGAAGGGACCGCCGGTTGTCAACAAACAATTTCCCAATTTCAAAGCCAATTTCAACTTCACAGCGAAGGATATTGGACTCCAGACAACGCAAGTTCAACTTCACGACGAAGGGACCGCTGGTTGTCAACAAACAACTTCTCAATTTCAGAGCCAATTTCAACTTCACAACGAAGGATATTGGACTCCAGACAACGCAAGTTCAATTTCACGACGAAGGGACCGCTGGTTGTCAATAAATAACTTCCCAATTTCAGAGCCAATTTCAACTTCACAGCGAAGGATATTGGACTCAAGACAACGCAAGTTCAACTTCACGACGAAGGGACCGCTGGTTGTCAACAAACAATTTCCCAATTTCGGAGCCAATTTCAACTTCACAACAAAGGATATTGGACTCGAGACAACACAAGTTCAACTTCACAATGAAGGGACGACTGGTTGTCAACAAACAATTTCCCGATTCCAGAGCCAATTTTAACTTCACGACGGAGGATATTGGACTCGGAACAATGCTACTTACTTGGATTTCAACTTCACGACGAAGGATATCCAATTTCAAGCTCAACTTCACGACGAAGGGGCCACCCGCGATTTCAACTTCACGACGAAGGGAATCATGAACACAAGCATCATCCATCTTTAGATTGGATTTCAACTTCACGACGAGGGATATCCAACTCAAAGAAGGATTATCTGTCAACAAAGACCTTCGAGTTCGACTACGCTCAGTTCCAAGTCACATCATTTACAGCATAACTCAAGGCTAGAAGGGTTATCTGCCATCAAAATTGTCGAGTTCGATTTCATTCAGCTCGATGACACATCAATCGCACTACTTTCCGGTTGCAGTCGAGGTTTTCAAGTCGAGAAGAGGACCTGGGTTAGCCATGCCTAAGTGACAAGCAACCATTTTCAAGCAGCATAGCTTAAGTCAAGAAAAAGCTATCTGTCAATGAAGATTTTTTAGTTCGATTCTGATCCATGATCTTTAAACCGAGAAGAAGACCGAAGGGCAACGGGAAGCCACGTGTTGATTCAAATTCCGAACTACGGCTTCAATTTCATATAATTTCAAGATGAACTCGACTTCACGATGGAAGAGTCATCCTTAACTCAATTCGACAGGGAGTTATTGAAACATCAGAGTCAATTTTCAACTCCACTGAACGAAAAGTGTGTTTTTTAATCTTTGCTCTATCCCCGTTACACGACTATGGACAAAGAGGGGCAGCTGTCAACACATCTTTTCGTCCTACTAGGATTCAAACTCCTAAAAATAGGATAGAATTTTGCTAGGATTCAAACTCCTAAAAATAGGATAGAGTTCTACTATTATTTAAACTCCTAAAGATAGGATCCACAAACATTATAAATAGTCATGGTAACTCACTATTGTAACACATTCGGAGAGGATATACGAAATACCAAGCAAAAAATTACAAGCAACTCGTAGCCATTTTTCGAAGCATTTATATTTTGAAAGGTAAAGTTCATACCTTCGCATGTTATTTTTCCTTACTCTTGCTGTGTTTTGATTTCGAAAGAAAACTGAGAGAAGTGTTTTTGGCCGATGAACGGGGGCGTTTTCGAGATCTATTTTTGTAGATCTAGTCCCCGAGGCTTGTGTTTTTGAAAAACTATTCGGATTTTTATAAACGGGTCGTGTGGATCCGCGTGTTTTGTCGTTTTTTTCTTCGATTGGCTTTTAATTTTGACCCCTAATTCATTTTTTATTTTAATTTAACCCTTATTATTTATATATATATTTTTACATATATTTTATTTATTTATTATAATTTTTTTTCATTTTTCTTTGCGTTATATTATATTATTTTCCTATTATTATATATATATTATATTATTATTTTTTTTATCTATGTTTACTTATTTACTATGTTTTTTTACTATATTTTCCTAACGTTATATATATATATTATTACTTTATTTTATTTTATATTTCTATGATTACTATTTTTTTAGTTAATATTATATGTATATTTATTTTTCATTTATTTATTATTATTATTAATATTTAGTATTTTATTATATTATACATACATTTTTATATTTGTATATATATATTTTTATTATTTTATTTATACTATTTATTTAAATTTTTAGTTTCTTTGCTCTTATTATTATTATTTTTTTTAAAAATACTTTACCTTTTTTATTCTTGTTGTATATATATTTTATCTTCATTTATTTTATTTTATTCAATTTCATTTTTTTTCTATCCAATTATTTTATCTTTATTATTATTGGTTTCATTTATTTCTTTGGTTTACTCTTTAATTTTGTTACTTTCTTTTATTATTTTATTTTATTTTAAAATCTTATTTTTTAATGGAATTTCCGTAAACTCATTAAAGGTAAGTAATTCGGATTAAATTTTACCTTTTAATTTAACTTGCAATTTTCTTAATCAAAGACAACTGGAAATTACATAGTACCGAAAGGACGGTTCAAGGGTGCTAATCTTTCATTGACCGTAACCGACTCCTGAACCTGACACATCTTTGGAAATACGCAGATCAGGTAAGAAATAGGGTATCCGATCAACCCATTTGTTTTAAATAAATGATCGGTGGCGACTCAAATCCGCATTTTTCAAGTTGAAACCCAATTCCGGGGCCCAACCGAAAGACGGTGGCGACAATAATATTTTTTAATTATTATTTTTAATTTAAGCCTTAAAATTATTAAATTATTGCAAAGTTGTAAAAGGTTGCATTATTTAAGGTGAGATCAGACTCTTAAAACAATGATTTGATAGGTAATTAAAGGGATTAAGTCAAGGGTAAACCCGCCCCACGTATTTAGCTTTACGCTTGAAAAATTAGGTTAAAAGGGACCCTACGAGGGGACATGCAGTTCGTATCCCTTCACCTTTCTCCGTTGCATTTGACGTTTCTCTTCCTGTCTTTCATCTTTCCAAAGCTACAACCATGTTTAAATATTTCTCCCCCGGACTATTTATTTTCTCCCAGCATTTTTCTTGCTAGAAACCTCCCAACACGTTAGAAAATTTCCTCTCGTATTTGAGTTCTAAAGATTTTTTTTGAGGAGTTAGCCTATTTTTATGAACAGCTATTACAAATTATAGTTTGTAGTTTGGCGAGCTGTTGGTTCTTCTTCTTGGTTGGTGAATGTTGTGTTCAGTCTTCAGCCTCCTTTTCGTATTTTTTAGTTGAACCTACAGAATCATGACACAGGTTGAAATTTTTTGCATTATGAAATATATTTTCATTTCTTTTATATATATAGTGCTTCTTATTGTTCCACATGAAGCAGTTTCTACTGAAACAGTTATACACACAAATTACGTTCACTGGAAAATATCAAGGAGAAAGCTTCTCTTGATCTTATTTCATGAAAAACAGCTTTTAAAATTGGAGTGTTTTCAGTAGCTTGAAAGTTATAGGAGGCTAGGGCCCTGGGTTCGTCCACTTAGATAACTTAGGGTTTTCGGAGATTTATGTGGAGTTGATGCTTGCTTTTGTACTTTTGGTGTTTAGCCTTTATCTGGAAAACATCTAGCTTTCTTTGTTTCTCTGTAAGCCTCCGATCTGATCTCTGACTCGAGTTTACTTTCTTTGCCTTGTTTCATTTATTTGTTTTGTCTTTTTTTCTCCTATTTTGGGAAGGCTTCAGTTTTGGTTTGGAGCATCATGTGAAGCACTGATAATAGTTAAGCGTTGGCTAGTTTGGATCTGAAGATTGTTTCTAACAGTCTAAGAAAACAATAGAGATGACTATCCAGCTCAGTTAGTAGAAGATAATGTTCTTAACTTTGAGATCGTGAGATCAAGTCCCACAGGTATTTCATAATTCGGAGTTTTCTTGTAGGAAAACTGTTCTCTATTGAAAGCAGGCTACTATTTTATCTCTTCTTACCCTAGGAACAAGGGACAGCCGGTCTAAGAAAACAATAAAATGAAACAACTTAAAAAAAAAACTGTGGAAGCTTTCACAAGTGAAGTAAATTTGCTTGCAAAGCTGTAGCTTTCGCTTTCCATGACTTTTCTTGTCACTAGGTATTTCTATTTTGGATTCGCCAGTAAAAAATCTTATCTGCACTGTTGTTTCAACTTCACATGAATTTCTGTTCAGTTTGAGGGCACTTCTTGTCATTCATCAAACCTCTCTCTCTTCCTTCTATGTCTTAGCTTTCATAGGTAGTTTATTTATTTATTTATTTATTTATTGTGTCTGAGATGTGGTTCTCTGCTTAAACAAGTATTGCTACCTATAAAACATCTTTGTCAATTTTTCTGGTGCTTTTTGCAGATCATAGATCTTGGAAATTGAATATTAAACTCGTTCAATTGCGTCGTTTTCCTGCTGGAAGCTGAACTGGCGTTGCATGAGTTTCTGGGATGGGCTAATCCACAGAATCTTAGTTAAATCAAAGGCGCGAGTGTCTTCTTAGTTATGGATATGAGCAAGTTTAGACCTGAATCGCATGTGGCACAGCAAAGCCTACGAGATAACCTGAGGGTTCCGCAAGCGGCGGACTTCCCCAACAGCATAAACCCAGATCTTATTCAAGTAAGAAGTGATAGAAATGACCATCTGCTATTCGATCCAGATGTTTTTTCTTCAGGCATCTTTCACGGCTCCTCAAGCTCCAATGTTTTTACTGCTCAAAGTGGTGCAATCCTACATCTGGAATTACAAACAGCTCAAGAACACAGGCAAATGCTTGATGAGGAATCGTCGCTTTCAGGTATTTCACATTCATATTTATCCAAAATCAAGGCTTCATCTAACGTCTCCGGTGGACCACATGGTTGTGGCAACTGGAAGAGTGTTGATTCACAGCATGCTTTTGATTGGATGGTAGGTTATGCAAGTGGATTAGCTGGTAGTGAAAGCAATCAGGACCCTTGGTTTGTTGGTGAAGTCATGTCAAATAATGCAAGGGCAAGCAGCATATCTGCAGCCACGCAATATCTGAAGCCAAGTTATGGGAATTTGCAATTTGTTTCACCTTCACTTTATCAGAATTCTCAACTGGGTTTCCTTTCTACAGCTTCCATCGGCACTCAGGAACTTGAAGTTGCATCTCACGAACGCCAAAGTGTCAGAGAAGCTGAGCAAGGTTCAAGAATGGATTTCTGTGGGAATCAAGCAAATCCTTTGCCATGTGGAGACGCCGGTGCTTGGATGAATCGACCACTGGTGGAGCACTCTCAACAGTGGTGTGGTGAAATGGAGTATTTGGCATGCAAGAGAAGCGTAGACGTAAGGGCTGCTGCGAGTGATACTGCTACTACCCAAGGGCTAGTTCTTTCTCTTTCATCCAACCCAACATCTAAAATTTGTGGTGCGGATGCGGTTCAATTCACAGAGGACGAGTATGGTTATGATGGCTTTCACTCAAGGCCTGGTGAACTCAAGGAACTACAAGATTCAAAAACATTAAATATGGGTAATTTTTGTTCGATGCAGAAACCATTTTTAGCAGGTAAAGCCAACGGAAAATCCCTTCACGACGCTGGTGGAATTTCTACTCATTACGTTCATCGTCAAACGATCCCCATTGGCCCCTTTACTGGATATGCAACTATTCTTGAGAATTCAAGGTTTTTGATGCCAGCACAAGCGCTTTTGGATGAATTCTGTCATGTGACCAAATCTAATCCCTCTAAAGTTTGTGACACATCCGAGGGGGCCTCCCGTGATGCTATTGGTTCGGGTTCGGCTGGTGCTCCTAATAAAGTTGATATGGAGGCTGGAACTAGCAAGGGAAATAACTTAGGGGCCTCGTCCTCTACTTTTTACTGTTCTAATGAATCTTGTAGACCTGATCAGTATCAACAGAAGAAGGCAAAGCTTGCATACATGCAGGAGGAGGTTGGTAATCGTTTCTCCTTTCCCATTTATAAATTGTTTTGCATTTAATTTTGTGTTTTCAATGAACGTTAATTAGGGATACTATGCCCAATGTTAGTTTATTTATGCCATGTACAGTGCTCACTGAGCTTGTTAACTGCATTTGAATGGAAGCGCTAAGCTTTCAAGTACTTATGTGATAATCTAGCGGATGGCTAATTAATATTATTTTCATTTTTAATTGGCCTCATTCACATTTTGCTATCATTTGAGTTGATAATAGACAATTCTCCACCAATCAAACTAGTTGGGGCTTGGGATTTGTTATAAATCTCGTCTAGCTAAGCATTGTCTTTTCAAACACAAATACGGCTGTGGATGGCATGTCGCCTTTTCAGTAAGAGCTGCTGATGTTAAAGCATGTAGTTCGAGTACTCCCACCCCAAGCAATGCATCTCAATTATTGTATTGATCATCCTTTGAATATAGTTTTCCCTAAACTACTTTATTTATGTATGCCGCTTGATGATACGAGTATAGCATATTTTACTGGATTTGGTGCCACATTTATGTAAATGGTTCTTGCACCTAATGTTTGCCTGCATAAATTAATAAATGTTTTTCATGGATTGGTATCTACAAGTCCTCTTTTCTTGTTATTTTGACCTCTTGCTTGGTAGAAATTAAGTTTCTTCAATTGAGAGCTCATGGTATGTGAAAATTATCTAACTACTAAGCTGTAGTAGTTTAGCGAAGGGGATCAATGTTAGTGTTTTTACTAATTAGAAAATTGCCACTCTTTTCTTATATTCTTGTGTCAGACTGCTTTGCAAGTATTGAAACAACAAGAACAGTAGCCTGCATCGAATAACTTATATGTTTAGTCGTAGGCAAGGACTAATCATGAGTCAGAGGGTATATATTTTCCATTATCTTGCCTTACCTTCAAATCAAGTTACATTTTCAATTAACAGAACAATGCAGACCACTCCTTCAAAGCTACTTTATTATCAATAAGCTGTACTCTTGCTGTTGTTGAGGGCCCCGTGATAGGTTGTAATAATAGGTCATGCAGTTGCCATAACACCCATGTTTAGTATCATTGTTACTATTGATTTAACTAGTTAATTTGGTCCATTTGCTTGGTCAGATTAATGATAATGAAGACTACAGTAAATTGCTGTTATCCAATAATTTCCATTATCTTTTCCTTGTTCCGAATCATTATTGTTATTGGAGTTAATCCAAACTGCATCAGTTTTCATCATGGTAAATTTAATTCTGTGAATCATCTTAATTTTAACTAAGGATCCTATGTTGTCTTTATCATTTGTTGTTGTTGGGTAATACTATTTCAAGTTTAATATGATGATTAACATGTATTATGTTTCTTGGGATGAAAAGGTTTGCAGAAGATACAAGCTATACCATCAGCAGATGCAAATGGTGGTTTCTTCTTTTGAATCTGTAGTTGGTCTTGGTGCTGCATCGCCCTACTTTTCCTTGGCTTTGAAGACGGTAGCAAAGAAGTTCCGATGCCTACGGAATGCTATTTTAGGTCAGATTAGGCACATATCTAGAGCCCTTGGGGAAGACTTATTGTCCCCAACTACTGGTACTAGCAGTAGTAAAGGTGATATAAATATGTCTAGGCTCAAATATGCGGGTCAGAATTCTGGTGGGGTTAACATGGGGTTACTTGAACCCCAACAACATGGCTGGAGGCCCCAGAGAGGACTACCGGAACGTTCGGTAGCGATTCTTAGAGCTTGGCTCTTTGAACATTTTCTTCACCCGTAAGTCTCACTTGTCTTCTTTCTATTTTTGTTCTCATAAATGTGTAATCTGATGTGATGTTCTCTCTATTTGCTTTTCTTGTAGGTACCCCACTGACACGGATAAGCACATATTGGCCATTCAAACTGGTCTATCTCGAAATCAGGTGGGCTATCTGCTCTTCTTGTTTGTTTAATTATTTAGACCAACACTGTTTATGTGATCCAATTAGAATTTAGTACAGATTAATATTTCAACTGAAGCATCTTTCGTTAGATTTGCAAAGATTATGTCCTGTAAATATCTAGCTTTCATGATGTTTTGATTTGTTAATGCAGGTATCTAACTGGTTCATAAATGCGCGTGTCCGGGTTTGGAAACCAATGGTGGAGGAGATACATATGCTTGAAAGCAAAGGTTTGGCAGAAGGAAATCAGAATTTGAGCAAAAGTGATGGCAAATATACCAGTGAAGGATGTACCATTCGGCCTAACGAAGACCAATCTATCAACACATCTGTCAAGCAAGTGGCTTGCTCCGATATTCGAGTAGCTGACATTGCGGGTGATGCACATGATGTGCAACTTTGGAATCATGAGAAACGTTCAAGGATAGACTTTGATATCACAACAAACATGGAGGGTCCATTGATGGGTGTGCCATTCGAGCAAAACAGGCTGGAGAATGTGGGGCTCGGAGCTGTGTCACTAACCTTAGGACTTAGGCATGGTGTGGAAAGTGCACAACAGCAGCAGCAACAATATCAACAACAGGAGCATCATCTGAGGAGGCAATTTGGAGGTCAATTGATTCATGACTTTGCCGGTTGAGCATACATTTATCTTATTGTAGTAGAAATGAGTGCGTAATGTGCTAGCTGTTCTTTGCGGCAATTTTCTTAAATGCAGCAACAAAAAATCCAGCTAGTACAAGGTTTCAGGTTACTTGGACATTATTAGTGTTGAATGAAAATGACTGCAACACGACCTCGTTGCTGAACGATAGTTACATGGCGAGAGCAATCATTTGGAAATTAGAAGGAATAAACGTGTGATGTCGATTTGTAATACAGTTTGTTAGAAGCTGTTTGGATTTGTCATGGTAGGGTATAATTAAAGCACAAATGTATAAAACAATTTTTGGTTTCACTTCTAATGGCTGCTTAATAATTTGGGCTTGCTTTACGAGAAAATGGCCCCATATGTGAAATAAGAAGGCCATCCAAGTTATGAGACCCAAGGCATGCAAAGCCTAGGAATATTTTGGCGGTTGATGTAAATTTGGCCATCTCATGCAAACAGCAATACGTTTAGCCGTGTGCATGCATGCATGCAATATTTTCCGAACCCTACATATATATTATAACAACATATATAACCATATATACATATATGTAAAACAGAACAGGAATACAAGATACACTCCACCACATAGAAGCTAATTAAGATATATCTAGAAACACCTAATTAAGCACGATATATCACATGATCATCATCAATAATTATTCCATATACCATCACCGTATATCAGAACTGCTCAGATTATTTTACCCGCTTCCATCTCCGCTATCACTACCACCAGGATAGTTATTGAAATCATGCCTGGGAAGATGATGATGGTTGTCCACACTGCTAGACGGATAGCCGGCTCTGACAGCGCCACCATTATCAAGCATGGTTCGTCCATGCTTGACCTCTTCTTCTACTATTATATCCTTTTGATTTGCAGCCAAGCAGCAACTCACCATCATCAGTATTGCTAAAACAAGACCCATAAGCTTCATTCTTGCCATTGTTTTTTTTAGATCTACAAAAATCAACAAAGTGAGATATTAAACCAGCTATTATTATATGTCTCAAATAATTTTGCGATACATTAACTTACCCAAGTAGAGAAAATGGATAGAGTGAGCAAATAGCCTTTGGGAGAGCCAGGAGGAGAGAAAAGCTAAGGTTTATATAGGGAGACAATTAGGTTTAGGGTTGATGTTCATTGACATTAGAGGGGATTAAATATAAATTTGGTGATGGGATCTCCACCAGACGAGGCAACATTAAGTGGGATGACCGTATTGTTTTCATACAAAATTTTAAAATAATATATCAAAAATGATTAAATTGAAAGAAACATTTTATCCACACTGGCAATCGCCAAGTAGCCATAAAAATTGGAGAATTCCATATTAGGAGTGGATTTACCGTTATCAGTGGGTGTTCTATTGCTACTGCCTGGTGATTCATGATGTCAAATTAGGATAGCGACCTTAAAAAATTGTAAAGCTGAAGTTTCTTGAAGCTTAAACATAAGAGCTGAGGTTTTTTCCCCCGGAGAAACTTGATCTAAACTTAGGACTAACATTTTTTTTATGTAATAATATCAAGATTATTAAAATATAAAATTATTTTATATATTAATAGACAAGAGATAAGATCACGAATGCAGTGTAAACCTTTTAAGCTTTACATATTTTTTTAAATAGTTGGATGAGTAAAAATGATAATTAAGACAACAATTAAAGAAGTTTTAATGAAAAATAATAATAGATTTCAATTTAAAATTTTATATCACCCATTAAACTCAATTAATCTAATGATCTAAAAAAAGTATAAAATCTAAAAGTTTTATATTATATAAGTTGATCCTAAGTTATAAATAAATTATTTATCTAAGCATGTCTAAACAAATAAAGAATCGTATTAAGTGAGACCAAAGGCCATTGGTTATTGGTTGCAGGAATGAATTGAGGGTAGACGGATTGGGGCAGCTGTTTCCTTTAAAAAATTTAAATTCTATTATAATTTTAGTTTTTTTATTGATAATTTGATTTCATCTTTTAAAATTTTATATGCTCGTTCCTTCTAAAATTCTAAATGATAGATTTTAATATAAAATTTTACATCCGTCCCTCACTATAACCACGGTGTAGGCTAATGTTGGATAGTGCAGGGATATCTATGGGAATGTGAATAGCACGTTAGGACTTAGTAGTACATCATAGGAGTGATTGTTATGTGCGACAGTTGGAGTTTGCTTAACACCAAGTAGGGCAATCACTCAGCTTGGCGAGAATGATGGAGGGGTTGTGCAATAACCAACCTCACATTAAATTCACCATGTTTACCAGGGTGTATTTGGTTTGGTCCGGTTAACCAAATTACATAAAAAACTGTAGTTTTTCGATTCGGTTTGATTTTGTGGTTTTTGATTGGTCATTTTTTTTTCAGACTTAACATTCAAATAAAACAAACTTAAAGCTTGATTCCAAATATATAAATTTAAATTTATTAAATTTATTAATAGTTTTAAATTCTTATTTATTTTAGTTTTTCTTATAATAAATTAAAAATAAATTTATTTTGAATAATTATTTTCTTTTATTTTTCTATTTCGTTTTGATTCGTAACAAACATTTTCCATATGTAAAAATCAAAACCGAACCGAATTGTATAATTATATTTTTATATCAAACCGAAACTGAACCGCAAAATTAAAAATCCAAACTGAATCATATAATTTGATTCGAATCAGTTTTTTTATTTTCTTGGTTTTGTTGCTCAACCCTAATGTTTACATAGAAGCAAAAAGAGTTGCTCACATGATGACTAAAAGAACAACCTGCCAAGTGCTAATTTAGGATTTAGCACAACTGAAGTTACACGAGCTAGCATTTAGTTTAACTCCATGATAGTTATGTGAGTTGCTCGCAGGGACAATTACAAAGATCAGAGACGGGTTCAATTTTTTTTTGTCTAATAACATTTTAGATCCTCTCAATTTAGATATTTGTCAAATTAAATCTTGATCACCTAATTTTTGGATTCAAAAACCTATTAAATTCATGTTAATTTTAAAGTTTGAATAATTTAACTCCTTCGATGTTTGATCCTAATTTCATCCATAATTGCTCAATGCAAACACGAAGGCATTATGTCACATGCTGATTCTCAAAATTTTCTAGAAATTATTAAATATCATCCACAAGTTATATATAAAAAAATATCACTTTCAATCTACAAAGTGAAGTGTAATGGGGTGTAATTATTGCAGCCAATTGCAATGCAATGCTACTTGATCAATGGTCTTGTAGAACTTGGGAGGATTTGGTTCAAACAAATATTCCACCTTATTGGACACATTACTGTTGTTTTTTTTTTAATAAAAGACAACGCAAAAGCAAATAAAATATATATGGCCAGATCTCCATCATTCTACTATTATAAATTTTTATTCGTCAATTACGACATGATACAATTACTGATATTTCAAGTACAATTCTGAGGTCGAAGCACTAAAACTTACTGGCCTTTACAAAATATATTCATGCATAAATGGGGAAAAACTGCATAACGATGAAGCAAATTAGCATTTTTCTTTTCCACTTGTCGTGGATTGACTTAAACTCGGTGCAAGAGGAAGAGACGTTGATGTTATCTAGTTGTGTTTAGCTGGCCTTGAATACATCAAATCCAAGGATTGTCAAATGGCAATTTCAGTTAATTGAAGTGGTGTAGTATCACTCATCAGCAATGTTGATTTTATCATGAGCAATTATTATACCTCTAATCTTACCACTAATAGGCTCAGGTTGCCTTTAATTATTGTAATGTATGAATTTTGTTACTAATAAGAATATTGACACTAGTTCCCAAAATCATCTACTCTCTGGGTTTCGTATTCAAGGGACTAATATATCTATTGAATCTGTTGATGGATTGGATTAATCCTTGTCGAATGTTGCAATGCATCAAGAGAAATTTCATCCACTAGTTTAAATTATCGGACCCAAATCTTGTATGCTATATCCTACGGCCTTACCTCTCTTGGTTCTCTATCCTATGTGAGGGTGGATCACGCTTGACAGAGGTGATCCTCACCTTAGAATTTAAATATTTTTATTAATAATTTGTTTTTATCTTTTAAAATTTTGTAAATTCAATTCTTAACTTAAAATATTAAGTATGTCGTCTCTAATCATATGATTTGACCCTTTTGAGCCTCTATAAAGGAATCCAGGAACTAATATGCCCTCATCATATGGCCTTATCCTTCTTGGTTCTCTATCCTATTGCCTTACCCCTCTCGGTTCTCTATAGAGTAGATCAGGCTGTAATCTGGCCCCATCCTATGGCCTTACCCCTCTTGGTTCTCTATAGAGGAGCTGAGATCAAATTGCACATCTATCAAGGGACATGTCCACATTCTCATAATCCATAAATGCGTTCAAGAATTCTCGAAGTCAACTTTGTAAAATTATTTTTCTTCATGATGTACGTCATGAACATGGCATACTCACAAAAAGGAAAGAATTATTTTGATAAAAATAGAATTAAAATGTTGAAAATTAAAATAATTTTAAAAAAGTATGGTTCTATCCAAATAAAGTTTACCTAGATAAAATTAAAATGTTGAAAATTAAAATGATTTAAAAATAGAATTTCACATATATTATTTTGATAAGAATTAAAACGTTGAGGACTAAAGTAATTAAAATAGTAATAAAATTTCATTCAAATAAAGATTATCATGATAAAATTAAAACGTTGAATATTAAAATGATTAAAAGGTAGGGACCAAAATAACACAACATTAAAGATTAAGGATGAATTATAACATTATTGTTTTCAGCACTTTAGTTGCTGGATGACAAGAGTTACAAAATGTAAACGATTGTGTGTGCGTGCTAGTGGAGGAGTTAAATATATAATAAAATCATTGAAGAAGTTAGTTCAACTAATTAAGATATAGAATTCGCATTTATTTATTAATTGTGCTGGTACAGTTCCACCGCGAAAAGAGATTCGCTGGGAATATGGAAACTTACAAACCAATTTTTACTTGCAAATGGTGTTGTAGGAGCTTGAAGTCAAGCAATAGGTTAAGAACTCATATTTCAGCATGTAGGACATAAAATGGCAACAAGAACTCACCTACCTTCCCTGTACCATGCACATTTCATGGGAACCAGATGGCTGGCAACTCTGACATGATAATTAATATTAAAAGGTTTTTCAATGTGACCAAAAGTCCAAAGAACCGCTTATATATATACTGGAAATGAAATGGGGTCAAATAAAGTATGCAATTGATTAACAGAGAAGCTTCCAAAACTTTCAACATTAATATATATATATATATATTCTACACTCCTGCTTGCTCGATTAAGGCGGACGGTGATGACACCTGCTTATTTTTTATTATTTTTTAACCACTCGTGGGTTGTTTTGTTTAGTATAAACTTGTTTCATTTTTTACCTACGCATGAAATTGGAATATATGAGTGTGAACCATATACTTTTCATTGTCTTCCCAAGAAAATAAAAATTATTAAAGCTCTTCAAATTCATACCAAATCTGGCTGTGGCTGACTAATGGTGTATAGCCTTCCTCAAAGGCAAATACAAGTTTTTGATTTTTCTTTCGAACGTGATGTAATATATAGTTGTAGTTTCATATTCCCAACGATTAGTGGCGGATTCATTGAGGGTCGAGGGTGGACACCTGTACATCTTAAAATTCGAATTTTATTTTATTAGTCACCTCATTTTATTAATAGTGTTCGTCTTGAAATTTTGTTGTGTCCACCTTAAAATTCAAATTTTTCTTCAATTAGTCACTGATTTTATTGATGATGCCCACCTGGAATTTTATTTATGCCCACCCCATTCAAAAATTTTAAGGTAGACTACATCAGATACCACCGAACTTTGGACGATGTATCGTTTATACATTTAACTTTTAATGTTGTCAATTATAGCACTAAATATTGATTTTCGTTTCATTTATACCACTGGACCATTAAATCGTTAACAAACCAAATCAAAACATCGTCGTTTTGGTGACGATAGCCATCAACCACATCGATAGTCGTTAGTCACGTCATTGTGACGTTAACGATTTAATGGTTTAGTGGTATAATTGAAACTAAAATAAAAATTCAGTGCTATAATTAGAAAAATTAAAAGTTCAGTGGTATAAACGATACAAGGCCTAAGGTCCGGTGATGTCTAATGTAGTTTACCCAAAATTTTATATTGTTGATCCACTCTCAAAACCACTTTCAAGATGATTGATTAATTAAATATTTAATGTAAACACAGATTTCTTCTTTTTCCCAGTTCTCTGGTCAGCATTACATCATCATCTTATGAATATTCGGACTTTATTTGCTAACAAAATCAGTATTCATGTTGTTTTCGTATATTAAAATTTCAGGAACCGCTTAAGTAGTGGAAGATATAAAATAAAGGTCTTGAATCCTTCTCTGTTGTCAAAAAATAGAAATTGTTGAACGCTTTGAACAGTTTATTAATAGCTCATCTGTTGAACAATGTATGAATTAAATCCTCCCTTTCAAAAGTTTGGTAGTTAAGCATGATTACATTTGATCATCTCTGATTTTATTTGAGTTTGTCCATAGATTTTATTATATTTATTGTGACAAAAAAACACGTTATATAAATGTATTTCTAATATTTTGGCTACGGATTTTGTTAAGTCTCTAATATTGTGTTTTCCCCTTTAAACTACCGAGAAATGAACTGTTAAGGTGTTTGAAAAAAGAAATATCAAGATGCACGCTTTTATTGATTAAAACTAGTCATTCAGATTCAGTCGTCACCTTACACGACAACATCAATAAATCACATTTTTAAGACAAAACAGGAAAAAATGCATGTGATGCAAAGAGCCAAAGACCACCTGGGTATTGTCTTCAAAATTCAATTCCTTTTTTTTTTACTTTGACTAATAAGAGAGGTTTCTCTGTTTCATCTTATCGTTAATTTCTTGTGTTCATACTAGGCTGTCAAATGACACAATAATGGAAAGTGATTAACCCTCAAGAAACCTTTTTCTTAAAAAAAATAACATTTTCATGCGAGATGCGTTCATTTACCAACCAAAACTCTATATAAAGCTGTCTCCCCCTTCCATTCTTTAATTACAAACAATTTCTCTTGGATATTACAAGCTACATTAACAAGGATGGCAAAACTACCTACCCAATTCTTGGTTTGCAGTTTCTTTATTGTTCTTGTCTTGCATTCTTTCTCAGTAACATCTCAAGAAGTCGGTACGCAACGCAACTTCGACGTTTAATTCCGAGTTCCATGCTTGCATTTGATTAAGTTTTCATAGTAATTTGGTGTTGTTGCAGAGGATGAAAGTGAGTTTAGTTATAGTGCAAATAGTCCAACAGGGCCTTCAAGGTGGGGAGAGATTCATGCAGAATGGGGTGCATGCAGCAACGGAACAATGCAATCTCCCATTGACATGTCGAGTGAAAGAGTTAAGATAGTATCCCATTTAGGGAGGCTTAGGAGAAGCTACAAGCCAACCGATGCCGTTTTAAGGAACAGAGGCCATGATATGATGGTAATTGAAGTCTACAAATTTTCAACAAGTCCCTTTCGGGTTATTTGAAGTTTTTAGACTTGAACCAATTTGTGTATGCAGTTGAGATGGGAAGGTGACGCAGGAGCCATAGAGATAAATGGTACCGAGTATGTACTCCACCAGTGCCATTGGCACTCACCTTCCGAGCACACCATCAATGGAAGGAGGTGATTGTTAAATGCACAATAAATCCATCAATTTTAATAAAAAAGTATAACAATAAATTTATACTCATGGGAATTTCAACCATTCCAGGTATGATCTAGAGCTGCACTTGGTGCATGAAAGTGCAGATGGCAAGGTTGCTGTAGTAGGGATCATGTACAAGATTGGAAGACCATATTCTTTCCTGTCATCAGTAAGTTTAAACAAAAAAGAAAGTTTCCCTGCTTTGATTCTGAACTTTTGATCAAAACAAATCCTATTAGGCTCATTACTTATGGACTTGTTGGTTCCAGTTAACAGATCATTTAGCAGCAGTTACCGTTATCACCGATGAAGAGAGAGCTGTGGGGGTGATCGATCCGAGGGATATAAAAATTGGCAGCAGAAAATATTACAGATATATCGGCTCTCTTACTGTTCCTCCTTGTACTGAAAATGTGGTCTGGAGCTTTATCAGAAAGGTTTTTTACCCCTTTTAATTAATTAACTTATTAATTCTTTTTTAATTTAATTATGATAACGTAAACTTGTTTAACGGATATTAATTAACCTTCCTTGAACAGGTTAGGACTGTAACCAGGGAGCAAGTGAGATTGCTTCGAGTAGCTGTTCATGATGTAAGTTCATTTGCTTGAATTTTAATTCATCCCAAAACATTATTTATATGGAGTTCATCAATTATATTTACTGGTTCTGATGCACTTAATTTTGATTTTCCAGAATTCGGATACAAACGCAAGACCGCTTCAAGCAATAAATAATCGATCGATTGAACTATTTAGACCAAAAGATAATGAACGGGATTAGAATAAACAAGAATGATAACGAGTTCAAATGTGGGATTATATATACACGCTTGTATTGATTTTTAAGGAGCTTATGATCTCTGAGTTTCCCTTTGTTTATTTTAATTTTTCAACTATTTTTCTGTATTTCTTCTTATTGTAATGTCCTTAATTAATAATTACATATTTACAGTACATTATTGACTTAACTAAATGTCGTTCTGCGTCCATTTTCAACGAAGATGAAGCGCACATAATTCTAAACATCCCTTTAACGAATTTCTGCCTACCAGATCAACGCGTTTGGTGTAAAGATGGAAGCAGGATATACATGGTTAAAAGCAGGTAGAAACTATTGTGCTCCACGGAAGATGATGATAACGCAAATAGGGAAGTGTTATCGAGGTTGTAGAATTGTAATTGCCAGCGAAAAATAAAGTTGCAAATCTGGAAATTCATGCACAATTTCATTCCTTCGAAGGTTAATCTATTTAATAAGCGACTGTTAAATGATTCGGTGTGCCCAGTTCGTAATTGTTCTTCCGAAAAAGCAGCTCATATTGCTCGTGATTGTGGATTAGCGAGTCAAGTGTGGATACGACTTAATCTATCTTGGCCAAATCAGTTTGATGGGTCAGATTTTAATGATTGGTTTGCTTGGCTAATGTTAAATAATACTCGTGACAGACAAGCTGAAATTATGGTGGGCATTTGGAGTCTTTGGTATTCGAGAAATAAGCGTTACCATGAGGGGAAACTTACCCGACCCGAAGAACTTGTTTCTTTCATCCGAGCTCAGTGTAATGAATTTGCTCTAGCTAACGGGCGTATTCGGGGTTCCCCTAGCCCCAGCTTGGTTCAATGGTCGCCACCACCTGGGAATTTCATCAAATTGAATTTTGATGCGAGTTTCTCGCAACCACAAGATGAAAGTTGGTCAGGTATTGTTAAGCAATGCAGTAAACTGCAGCAATGGAAATACCAGAAATGAACAATAAAAGTATTCTTATTGAATCAGCGTACCATACTTCTCACGTACACTTACATTTATATCACATTTATAACAAACTCTAACAACCTAACAACCCTAAAAATGTTTCCTAACAACTTCATATGATGGTTAACCACATCCATCATCATTTCTCAGCTTACACGCATGACATGCATGAGGACTATAACTCACGTGCATGAACATATCTCAACATTCTTTCCACTTCTTTTTCTCCTCTTCTTTAACAAGATAGCACTCGCAATTTTCCACGAAACTGCTCAAACGCAGACTTGGTCAGCCTATCTGCTATTTGGAATTCAACAGGAACGTAACTAACCCGAAGTACACCGACTGCAATCTTCTCATGAATAAAGTGAACGTCGAGTTCAACATGTTTTGACCGAGAATGACAAACAGGATTCACGCTCAAGGCCACAACACTTGTGTTGTCGCACCAAATAACATGTGCTTCCTGTAGGGACAACCCAAGATCATACAACAACTCAGCAAGCCAGGTCACCTCTGTTGCTGACTCAACAACACTTATATACTTAGCTTCCATAGTTGATCGAGAAACAGCTTTTTGCTTCTTTGAGTTCCACGCAACCAAACAATCTCCAAGAAACACACAGTACCCAGACATGGACCTACGATCACTGGTATCACCAGCCCAGTCAGCGTCTGAGAATGCTTTGACACACAACCGAGCATCACCTTTTAAGAACATCAATCCATGATCAAGCGAGCATGCCAGGTAACGTAGGATTCATTTAACTGCTGCAAAATGAATCATTCGTGGAGACTACATGAATTGAGCCGCTTTATTAACTGCAAACGCGATATCCGGTCGTGTATGGCAGACATACAGAAGAGCACACACAATGCTTCGATATTCTCGAGCGTTTGTCATTAGATCACTCGCCTGATCAGTAAACTTTGCAGCAACCATGGGAGTACATACAAGTGTAGCTTGACTTAAGTTTGTTTTATTCAACAACTCACATATATAAGCGCGCTGACTTAACAACAAGCCAGTACCAATCTTCTTAACTTCTATCCCCAGAAAGTAGGATAGTTCACCTAGATCTTTAAGCGACAATCGATAACTGAGCAGATGAACAACCTGATCAACCGCTGAGATTGAAGTTCCTGTGATGATGATATCATCTACATGCACCAAAGCATATGTACTGTAATCGCCTTGAATTCGAACAAACGATGATACATCTGCCTTCGATTCTACAAACCTCAGCTCCAAAAAAACAGGCTTTAAGCTTGTCATTCCAGTTGCGTGGAGCTTGTCGAAGACCATAGAGGGCCTTCTGTAGTTTACACACCAGTAGAGTTTCATCTTTAGCACAACGCTCAAACCCATGTGGTTGTTGCATGTATACTACCTCACTCAAGTCACCATTCATGAACGCATTATTGACATCAACCTGTCGCAAGGCCCAACCTCTTGCAACAACCATGGCTAAAAGAACATAAACAATCAAGAACTTTACCACTGGACTGAACGTGTTTGTAAAATTGAACCCAAGGACTTGAGTGAAGCATTTTGCCACCAACCGCGCCTTGTACCTGTGCACAGACCCATTTGGATTTCTTTTAATCTTGAAGAGCCACTCACATCCTACTACACTCCTATCAGCAGGTAGAGGAACAAGACTCGACGTGTCATTTTGAATCAACGTTGAATATTCAGCATGCACCGCATCTAACCATAAAATATATTGAAGAGCTTCCTCAACAGTTGCTGGTACAATATCATCAAACAATGTGTGTACATTTTTTGTCTAAACACTCCACATTTACTCATAATTAATTTAAGATGAGCATTGCCAACCACTTCCTTTGTTATGTCATCAGATGGTGGTTGTACTTCTATGGCAGCTTCAATGGAACCAGGCTCCTCAAGTACTGTAGCAGACTCATTGTTTGCACCAGATCGTGCAGAATTGTGTTCAGGAGTGTCTACAGACAAGTCAGCGAGCTCTGGATGTCGAGCAGTAGCAATATGCAACTTATTAGTATCAATTACTATGTCAAAGGGTCTGCTCAACTGCGAATGAACTCTTGATTGTTCAGCAGGACTATTCTAAGTAAATGGAAAGCACCACTCATCAAACTTTACATGTCGCGACACCACTACACGTTTGTCATGCGTGAGACATAAGAAACCTATGTGTTGAGGGCTTGTACCCAAGAATGTACATGGCTGAGACCGAAAATAGAGTTTGTGATTGTTGAACGATCTTAGGTGAGGGAAACACCTACATCCAAATACCTTAAGTGAGCCATAGCCAGGTTTCTTGTTGAACACACACTCGAAGGGAGACTTTCCAGCTAGTACCTTTAAAGGTAACATGTTTATTAAGTGAACGGCCATAACCACAACATAGGACCAGTAGTTTGTTGGCATGGACGCCTGTGCAAGTAGTACTAGGGCCATCTCAATCTCATGTCGGTGTTTGCGCTCCACAACACAGTTCTGCTCTGACGTGTGTAGACAGGTAACACGATGAGATATACCAGTTTCAGCAAGCACACGAGACAATTGACGATATTCACCGCCCCAGTCGCTTTGAACAACCAAGACATTTGATTAAAACTATGTTGCCACAAGCTGCTGAAATAGTTGAAAAGCCTGAGTAGCCTGAGACTTGTCCTTAAGCAGATACAACCACGTGTGTCGAGTGCAAGCATCAACGAAGCTGACATAGTACTTAAAACCGTTCAAGATAACAGGCGATGACCCCCATAAATCAGTAAACACGAGTTGAAATGAAGATTTATACAGAGTGGTTGAATCCAAGAAGGGAAGTTTATGATTTTTCCCCATGTGACAAGCAATACAACTTTCATTATTTTGTTCAATGTTTACATCAAAGAATTTGCATATTTGCTCGAGAATGCCATGAACAGGGTGCCCAAGGCGCCTATGCCACAAATCATACAAATGACTTGAAGTAACAACTTTATTAGCTACAAGACAAGTACTTTTATTATGACTATCATCAACCTGGAATAGGTACATGTCATCTTTCTCATGTCCCTGCAGCAGAACCTCACCAGTGGCTTCATCACGAACATAACATCGTGATGTATGAAACTCGAAATACACCTTATTGTCCTTAGCAAGCTTCGAGATCGAGAGAAGATTTTTAGTAACCTTAGGTACATGAAGAATATCATTTAACACTAAAGCTCGAGAAAAAGAAGACAAAACTGATTTACCAATGGCTTGAATTAGAAGTAAACCACCATTACCAACCATTAATTTACCTGATCCTGAGAATTCTTTTTGGCTAATAACCTTGGTCGAATTAGCAATTGCATGATGCGTGGCCCTAGAGTCCAGAACCCAGTGATCCCTCGTGCTAGTAGTGATATGACTCTGTGGTTGTGGCGAATAACATACATGTGCTTAAGCCTTGGCTTTTGTACAACATACACATTCATCCACATCAAGATGAGACGATTCCAGGCTAGAGCAGTTTACATATCCCGAACCACCACGGCTTACAACACGCTCAGTCGATCGGCCAGTAAATGACTGATCGAACCTGTACCAGTAATCAACAACAAAGTGGCCATTTTTTTCCACATAACTGACATTGAACCTGTGGTCGACCACGACCCCGTCCTCCAGTTCGACCTCCAACACTAGTTCCATATCTTCCAGAGGATCGATCATGAAATGTATGATTAGCATTCTTCGAAGTAGGACCAGATTGAGCAAAGTGAGCACTCATCGACAAAAACTCTTCTTGAGAGTCAAACCCAGCAAGCTGCATTTCTGCATCAATCAACATTGAGCAGATCTTATTAAGGGACAAGGCCTATTTCATGGTGGTTATAAATGCAATGTAAGGTTGGTACTCTCGGGGAAGTCCTTTTAGAATGCTCGCAACATGTTCGACCTGAGGAATTGCACTGTCACATGAACCTAACACATCACACACTTATTTGATGCGAGTGAGGTACGTTCGCATGCTATCACTACCTTTATTGAGTGACTGAAGTTTATAGTGAAGGTTGATAACCGTCGTGGTGGACCGATTTGCAAAGAACTACAGCACCTTGCTCCAGACAGGCACCGCCGTCTTCGCTCTAACAAACTGGGACATCAAATGCGGGCTGATCGTGGACAGTAGCCAAGAAGCTAGTGCACTATCTTGTGCAACAAATTCCTCATGCAGCTCATTTGCCACCGTATCGCCATTCTCATCCTCAACTGTTGTAGGAGGAGGACACACCACTCCGGTTAATAATCGTTCTAGCAGATAACTGCGAACAATCAACAAAATTTGTTGCTTCCACAACAGGAAATTAGCTTCATCAAGGATGATGTTAACCTTCTTGTTTGTGAAAGTCTTTCCAGCATGAACCTCCATGATCGAGAGTTTAGCACAGCACGCATGAGAACCTCAGAAACGTCCGACGAATGATACCATGTTAAGCAATGCAGTAAACTGCAGCAATGGAAATACTAGAAATGAACAAGAAAAACATTCTTATTGAATCAACTTGCCATACTTCTCTATTACACTTACATTTATAACATACTTATAACAAACTCTAACAACCTTAAATCTATTTCCTAACAACTTCATATGATGGTTAACCACATCCATCATCATTTCTTAGCTTACATGCATGATAAGTATGAGGACTCTAACTCACGTACATGAACATATCTCAACATGTATAGTAGCAAGGAATTCTGAGGGGCTTGTAATGGGCACTTGTAGGAAACGAAATAAAAGACCTATCTTGGCGTTTGGAGCAGAAGCAATGGCTGCGGTGCATACGGTTTCCTTCGCTCGAGACATTAGTTTTTCAAGAGTAAGTGTTGAAGGCGACTCAAAGATGGTAATCAATAAGCTTGAATCATATCTACCTGATCTCTTCGAGATAAGCCCGATCATTAAGGAAGCCAAGGAACTTCCGAGAAATCTTCATGCATGTTGATTCTCCTTCGTTACCCGCCATACAAACAGAGTTGCTCACTATCTGGCGACAGTGACACTCAGCCAACCAGACCGATATTGGGTAGAAGAAGCTCCTCTAGGTGCTGAAGATTTGGTGGTGTCAGATCACAGGTCTCTCGATCCACCATAGATGTGACTGTCCGTTTGGTTATCGTGCGTAAGGCTCGATCTTTCTTTTGTTCTCTCGTTGCAACTCTTCTTCAAGTTTTGTCCATCTTTCTGCAGCAGAACAACCGACTCTTCATTATTTTTTTATTTTGTCCCTTGAATGTTTTAGGTCCCTTTTGGGGCGTTTTGGTTGCCACTAATGCCAGACAGTTGGCCCATGTCTCTTTAGTTTTCTCTTTTTCATTGATTGCACATGTACTCCTTTATCAGTCAATAAATAGTCAGTTTCATTTAAAAAAAAAACTAAATGTCTTTCTCTTTGATTGATGTTTCTTGTATGTTAAAGCTTCTATGGTTTGGGAATATTGCATCTAAAAAATATATGCTAACATATTTAGTTATTTTATTAACACAATACTTTATTATATTTATATGTATATTTAATACAAAATTAAAATTTTGTTTTATAGTATAATTGTTGCTGGGTAATTTTACTGAATATTAAGACATTATTTTTTATTAAATCAAAGTGATTATAAAATAGTATTTATTATGAATGTTTGCAGCCATAACTCGTAATCTCTAATAATAATAACGATTAGTTTAATCACTGTGATAATTTCAATCAATGTGATAATTTCAATCGCTGTGATAATTTCGTTCGTACAATATTAAGACATTATTTAAGTCAATCAAGCATATAATAAATGACATCATTTTAATTCTGATTAACATTAGATTCTAAATTCAACATCAAATCACTTCTTTATTTTCTATCTCTTTATATCCTCAAGATAATGAGATATATGCTCAAAATATATCTATCAACATCAATACTTGCTTTATATGAAAGCACAAATTTAAAAAAGTATAGAGTTTTGAAATAATATCACACCATTCTTCCAAGAACTTTGAGGATATCATCCATGGATGGCCTTCTGAGAGGGTCATCCTCTATGCAAGCCTTGGCTAGAACTGCTAAGCATAAAGCTTCAGCTAGTAGATATTCATCTTTCAGACATGGATCGATGAAGCTCCTCAATTGTTCAAAACAACCTCCTTCATTTTCCCCCCCTCCCAAAAATCCAATTGAATCTTTCAACAAAGTTCCTTTTGTAGCGTCATTCCCTGAAATGAGCTCAAGCAAAACTACCCCGAATGCAAAAATATCCACTTTCAACGAAGCCGGTCTGGTCATGGGGTACTCCGGAATGACCAATCCGTCAACGGTATCGGCGTTTTCATTCCTTGTTGATGAGGTGACAGCAAGAGTCGATCCAATATTTGCTAGTTTCGCCCTCCATTTCGATGTCACATATATATTCCTGCTATTCACGCTCATATGAGCATACGAAGGGAAAATACAATAATGTAAATAATGAAGAACGGTTGCTACATCGAAAGCAATTTGAGTCCTTCGACTCCAGTCGAGACGATGAGCCTGATCTGATAAACAATCCCTTAAACAGCCATTGGCAGGGAATTCAAAAACCAGATACGACCAGGTAAAGTCATTTTCACCATAACAAACACCATGGAGATTCACAATGTTAACGTGATTGATCTTAGAATGCATATCTATAACCCGGCGGATATCTTCAAATTTCATCTGCTTGATCATTACACTTTCATTGTCAATCAACCCCTTGTAGACTTGCTCACCAATCTTATTGGTATCTTCATTGAAGTCATTTGTAACCCTTTTTATATCATCTATGCCATAGTTGTACAAAGAAAATTTAATCCCAGCTAGAAGATCAGGAGATAAACAAGAATTGGTCGAGCTTCTACCGGTTTGTCCCGATAGAGGAGAGCTTCGAGCTGTTGAGCCAGAGAGCACAGAGTTTCTATCTGTAAAAGACTGTAGTCTCTCTCCCTTCCATTTCTTCAAGGCCTTCACATACAGCCCACAAGCAAGCAATGCAACCGTAACCAGCAAAAACCCAACAATTGATCCTGCAATATACAGGTTCTTCAACTTTGTGTTCTTTGTTTTTTCAACTGTGGCGGTGGGAAGAAAACCTGGGGTTGGGGGTGGAGAATCTGGTATATTGAAGTTAATTGAAGGATCTGATTTCAAAGGAACTAAAACAGTTGTATTGGGAAAAACAGTGGACTTAGGTTCCAAATGGTTAGCTGCTAATAAATCATGGACAGAGATGCTAAACTTCATGCTTAATGGGATTATTCCATCTCCTTCCAGGAGAGGGTATGTCACAAGATATTTCACTTGATTAACACCAGTGAAATTATCAGGACAGGAACATCTCAAAGGAACAAGAAGCTTACCACCAAGCTCAACATCATTCCCTTGAGATGGATTTTCCCGGAGCAGCGTTAACGATTTCGATAAACCTTCGAAAACCCCACAAGCAATCTCTGAGATCGATGTTCTCTCAGGAACTGTGTAGTTTAAACCAGCCTGAAAGTACTGTCCAGAACACAAACAGGTTATAGGGAGAAGAACCTCTCTACCTGGTTTCAGAGTTTCCGAGGGTGAAGCTATGTTGTTCAAGTGAAGCAACTCGTCAGGGTTGATCCGAAACAAAGCAGAGATATTCACCAGTTTTTGCAGTCCAAAATGTTGGTTGGCTCTGTAGACTAAGTATGTTCTGCATGATTGTCGGACAGAATCGCAGGTGTACCTTGAGCCTGGATGACTGGTATCGGAAGAACAATCAGATGGATCATAAAATTGTTCAGCAAAGCTTAAACTGACAGTTATCCAGATGAGAAACAAGAGATAAATCATTCCTGCTGCTAAAAAATATGTGACATCTCTGTCAAGTGTTTAAGGCAGCACTTCGGAAAAAAGGAGTTGAGATGAAATGATTGAAACAAATCAATGGCTCTATATAATACCGAACCTACAAACGAAAAAAAAAGAAAAAGGTAATCAGATTTGGAATCAAATTAAACTGCCGGCCTAAGAGCTAAGGGCCAACCGGAAATTCAATGAAAAAATGATACCATAACGAATTTTTTGGTTCTTTTCTTCTTGTTGTTTATTGATCATCCATCCCGCTTTTGTTTTTATTTTTATTTTTAGGTAGACCATCATTTTCACCAATCTGCAGTTAAAGTTCCTCTTGAAAGTTCACCATACAAGTCCCTGTACTATATCTTGGATTGCATTTTGGTCTCTCTATTTGAAAAATGAAAAAATTGATCCATGTTCATTGAGAAGAGATGCAAGACATTTCCAAGAGCTGATTCGAGCGTTTGTACTTTGGCGTTAAAAAATCGTTCTGGTCATTTATCAATTACAAAGAGACAAATATTTTGCTATAAAATAGATTCAACTATGAGATCTCTATAAAAAGAATTAATATTTAATCATTACGCCAAATTAGTTAAATATTGTATAAGTAATAAACACAACATTTAAATACAATTTGACTGAATTTGATTTTATTTAAAATATATTAATATAAATTGTAAAATATAATTAATATTTTTTATTTTAATTAATAAATTTATATAACATGTATAATTTATTTTTGTTATGATTTAATATTTTTAAAGTAACTCTAATACTATCAACAAAATTAATTTAAGAAATACTATTAACAAAAATTGGCGTTTGGTGTAACTTGAGCAAGCAAACAAGTAGGATAATCATAATTCAAGAAAATAGTCAAATTAGTGGCGGCAACAAAATAGGTAAGACAATGTTATGCACGACACCATTAATAGTCCTCGTCGGGGTGTGAATAAAAAATATTATAATTTAATTTAAAAATTATTTATATACTCAAATCTCATGTAATTTTACAGAATTATCATTTTTGATTTTTTATTTAAATGAGACACAATCAATACTGTTGACTAAAATAACACACTTTAATAAAGATGTAGTAAAACGATTTTCAAAGGTTCATTTTAATTTATGTGTTTTTGTCTATATGACAAATTATCTAGACGGGGTTTTTTACTTCGATGTTATTCAAGGTTAAAATGAAAGAAATGAAAATAATAGATAACAAATTGTAAGACTTTTATTTAAAGAGGTACACACGTTGCAATATTTATCGAATATACACAATTGTATGAGTACAAATATGAGCCCGAACTAGACAACAATAATATATATATATATATATATATATATATCTTATCTTTAATCACTTAATAAATACATATTTAGATTATTATGTCCGAATAAATAAAAAAATCTCTATATAAAAATGTTTTTTTTTTCAAAATATAGGATAAATTACGTGTTTAATATTTAAATTATCAGTTTTGATTTGTTTTAGTATCTGAATTTTTAATTTTTTTAAAATCATATATAAAGTTTAGTTTTTATTTCATTTTAAAATCATATTCAAAATCTAATGTTAAGTTTTGAAAAAATTAAAATTTTAGATATTAAAACAGACTAAAATTAATAGTTTAAGTATTAAATGCGTAATTTATCCTAAAATATATTTATATTAAAATGCATCTTTATTGAAAGTAATACCATTTTTGTCAATAATTTTATTTGGGAGTTATTTTTATTAAAATTAGAAAAAGGATTATTCTAACAAATTGGCCCAAGTCTCACCACAAATGAATGTCATTGTCTTTTCCAAATGTGATAATGATACTCTTTAAACTTTGACAGGAAAACCGCATTCCAATCTCCGCAAAAACATCGTGAGGAGGCCTTCTTTTTCACTCGTTTTCTTGGGGGAAGGAATCGGTTTGACTTGCTAACCAAATTGCTTCTGTGAAAACCTAAACAAACATTAAACGGAAAAAGGGAAAAAGGTTTATTGAGGAAACATTTCACCACTAGATTTGCGTGCAGGTAAGTCCGTACTTATCTATCATGGAAAATCACTCTGGTCGAGTTTGTCTGGGTTTTAGTTTGAGACGCTTGCGATTGATTTGGAATTACTAAATTTGTGTGTAATTGATGGTCATTCTTGTTTATCGACTGTATTGGTGGCTTGAGTTAGGTTTTACATTTTAGGGTTCAAAGCTGTGACATTCTTCTGATTGTCTTGGTACTACTACTAGTAACTTTTTTCTTCCATATACGGTTGCTTTCCATGTTCGTCCGAGTCAATGCATACTTTCTAGAATCATATTTTATAGTAATACGGTCAACTATCAAGCCTGATGTTGTGAATATATTGGCTTTTGATGTGAATTAATTGTGAGTTTCTGCTTCATTCTCTATGCACTGTTGTTTTCAGATCTTTTATTTGCATTGAAGGTGTGGTGAATGGTACTCGGTCGTCTAGTAGGAAAGCTAAGGATGATGAAAATAATGATTTGAAAGGAGGTTAAAATAGTGGTAAAAAGTCAGTGTATCCGTGGGCTGCTACAGCAGAAACATCTGATGTTAGGAGGTCACCTAGGGAAACCCTATCTAAGGAAAACATGACTCTGACAAATTCTTCTGGTATGCGGAAGTTGGAGCTTCTTGAGAAGCAGACTGAAAATTTGAATTCAATGACTCCTCCAGCTAAGGGAAAAAGTGAGCGGGTTGAGAAGAAAAAAGAGAACGCTAGTCCTTTGACAAAATCTGATAGGGGTGAGATTTCCTCCTCCTCATCTTCTTCAGGATCAAAGAGGTCTGATAAGAGCCCGGATGTGTTGAATATGTTAAGGAAGAAAGAGAAAAAAGAGAAGATCTTGAAACAATTGACAATGCAAACTGTGGAAGTTAACAAAATTAAGCAAAAAGATGTGCAAGCTGAAGAGACACAGAAGAAGAGAAGGGATGCTCGTTCCTATAGAGCATTGTTTACGAAACAACCCAAGAAAGTTGATGGAACAGGTATTGTGAGGAGTAATACACATGGGACCTTGTGTTATACTGTTTGTGATTTCACTGATTTGCTTATATCATCTGTAAATGAAATTATCTTCTGTAGTTTGGATGTTGATTTAAGATATTTCTTTTAAGTAGTTTTTTTGTTTGATTAAATGTATCATTCTTTGAGAGTTCTGCTTGTTCTGTAGATAGTTGCAATGATCTGAATGGAACTGACAGTGAAAGGAGGGAGGAGGACGTTTTAGAAGAATTCACCAAGAGAACTCGTGAAAGGACTATGGCGACAAGTACAAGTCAACTTGCTGAGGAAGAACTTAAAAGAAATGATGAGCATAAATTGTTTCCCACTAACCAAAAGAATAGCTGCAAAAATATGTCTTCTAATGGGGGTGATCCACAAATGTCTCAGAATGTTTTGGTCGCAGGAGAAAAGAATGATGATGCTGAAACAACCACACTTAAAGATCTGCAAAGTCCACAGTTGGTAAACTCCATCGTGCCTGGAGGGGTCCTTGATTGTGATATCAGTGTGGAGATGGTTCCAAAATTCATGCCTTCTGAAAGGAAAGGTCATGATGTATACATTGATTCTGTTGCTTCTCCAAAAATGTCGAGTAATGATATTGACACCTTCACTGGGGTTGGAACTCCATTTGCATCTGGTTGCAAAAGAAAAAAAATCACCGAGACATGTGGAATGTATTCCGAAAGGCAAAGGTACTGATTTATTATTAGTTGGATGGTAATTCAACAGGATTTTTTGATTTATTTATTTCAGTCAATTCATCAAACTTAAATGATTAATGGCCATTTGCTAGACATATTTTGGAGCATATAAGCTTGATATTAAGGTTATTGGGATGCTTATTCCTAAGCAAGAGGGAAAGGAATTGGATTTTTCCTGGTTTAATCTGTAAGATGTGGGGATTATCTGAGTTTGGAACGTGATGCATGTTGGTGTTTGTCACTGGTGCATGTGACAGCCCAGGAATTTAAGTGCTTAGCTGCTTGATGAATTTTGGTTCCAACTGGTTGGGCTTTATTTATTTTTTAATGGGTGAGGTTTATTAAATACCAAAACAGAAGAAGAAGGGCTTCATAGAGCTGGACAAGTTTCTGGTTCTGTATCAAAACTTATATGATAAAAAAGAGAAGAAATATACATTAGATTCTGGTTGAGTCCTTGCAATGATCCTAGAATTGGATGGATATCAGGGCTCCGGGCTCCCCTTGAGAAGGTTTTCAGAACTTCTAGTGAATGATTTGTATGGTACCAGCTTTTGTTTTATTTAATCTGAACTTTTTGCTTAGTAAGAAATTTTCCTAATTAATATTGTTCATTGTAACTAAATTAGACTTGAGCTAATTAAAGCAAAATAAATCCCCCATGTCTACTACCAGAGATACAATTTGAGATATTGGCAGCTAAAATTTTGAATTTTGGAAAAAAATATCTGGTCATTTGATTATCAAGTAGTTGCAATTGAAAATCAAATTGTCTCTCTCAATGCTCTGCCCATGTTTATTACTAACTAGAAAAAGAACTCGTAGCAATTTGAAGCCTCTTTTATGAGTACTTTTTAGCTTGCATTTACAACATCTTGGGTTTGCCTTCATTACTTGAGTATTTGGCACATAATTTTATCATGATTTGGTCTTCTTTAGTTCTAAAATCGATAAAGTATATATATTTTCTTTAAAATATATCTCTTTATCTTGCAGGGTTGACTGCAATTCAAAAAAGCAGGAGATTTGCTCTTCTAATATGGAGGAGAGGTTGGCAAAGTATGTTGCTTATGAGTGCAAGCCAGAATCATCTAGGTTTCTGGAGTACTGGGTTCCTGTACTCTTATCCAATGTGCAGCTAGAGAAGTATTGTTTTACTATACTTTCAAATTCTCTCTCTCTGTGCTCACATTCAAAGACCGATGCTTGTGGGGTTCTCCGTAACATTCTTGTCTCTAGCCGAAAGGTTGAGTTTATTGCACTTTTTGCTTCAATCACATGATTATGTGAGATTTGGGCTCTTTTTTCTTAATTTATAACTTTGATATCAAATCTTCTAATAAATCAAAATATTCATGCTGCTTTCCTGGCATTCTGTGTTTGCCTGCAGTATGGCAGAAATTATGTTTAGGTTATGTTTCAACTATAATCTTACAAATTTTGGACTCATTATACTAAGGTCATCCTTCTGGAGTCATTAATCTGATGATGCTTTTGGAAAAATCTCGGAATGCAAATATTTTTGGGATGGAATGGTCATGGTTCAAAAATTATTTTATTTATTTGTTATTTTCAAAAGCATAATAATCAACTTGTTTATCTTTTATTCTCTTGCGTGTTAGATGAGTTTCATTGACCTCTTTTCGTAATATTTGTATTAGTATGAGTAAGATGTGTAGAAATTACTATTATGACATCATATTATGGGTTAATATCTTGCTTTGATGGTAATTCTTGACAGTGTTGTGATCATCCCTATTATTTGGATCAATCACTTAAAACGTTGCTCACTAAAGGCCTTCAAGAGGTTGAATTTTTGGAGGTTGGAATAAAATCAAGTGGCAAATTACAACTTCTTGATGCTATGCTTTGGGAGATCAGGAAACGAGAGTTAAAAGTGCTTATTCTTTACCAGGTACATTTTTCTTTGAAATTTACTTTAAATCAATTGTATATAGTTATATTAAGAATGCTGTAGATTTTTTGATATTTTATAGCTCATGATGATAAAGTGATTAATGTACATGAAATGGTTGTGTAAATATTTTTATAACTGGGGTCATTATAATCATTTATGAGTTTGAGAAAAGCAGATGAATTAAATTCCCTTGGTTCTATAAGTTCAAGTTTTATATCTGCCACACCATCTTGCAGCTTTGACAGGTGGCAAAAAAAAGAAAGAAAAAGGTTCGATGCTTGTTGAACATGTAAAAAGTAGTAGTTGTTTGCCTATTGGAGCAGCATTCCTGCTCCTATAAGCAGAAGTGGCAAACCAGGTTTTGCGCATGAAATTTTATATTTTGCACAAGTTTAATATGAGCTTCTAGAGGCTAAAGTTGAAATCACTAATTTGACATTTCAAGGAAAGCTGCCGTGAGAAACTTATTGACAAATTCAGTGGGAATTTTAATACAGCTGTTGGAAAACTTGTATTTTCGGCTGCATTTTCTGATGAAACTCCTGCTGGGCCAAACTATATATGCGTATTTAATATTTGTCATGCAGAAACAGATTTTGCTATTTAATGTTTCTGATATAGATTGTTTGATTGGCAGTACATTGGTGGTTCTGGAAGGGATTTGATTGGAGATATTTTGGATGACTTTCTGCGTCAAAGATATGGTATAGATTCTTATGAACGTGTTGATAATGGTGTCATCCCTTCAAAGAAGCAATCTGCTTTGAATAGATTCAATAATGAGAGGGATAGATTTGTCTTTCTACTAGAAACTCGTGCCTGTCTTCCCAGCATCAAGTTATCTGCAGTTGGTACTGTGATAATATTTGGAAGTGACTGGAGTCCAGTGAACGATCTAAGAGCCCTGCAGAGGATAACCTTTGATTCTCAGTTTGAGCAAATTAAAGTATTACGCTTGTATTCATCATTTACCGTGGAGGAAAAACTTTTGATTTTTTCAAAACAAGATAAGACAATTGATAACAACATAGTGAATTTAAGCCCCAGTACTAGTCACATGCTGCTTAAATGGGGGGCTTCGTACCTATTCAGTCAATTGGAAAATTTTCACGATATTTCAAGGCTGGATGCAATTTCCTTGTCTCAGCAATCACATTTAAAAGATGTGATTCAAGAATTTTCAACCATACTGCATCAAACTGGTATAGACAATACGAGCAGGTTGTCCCTAATTTTACAAGCAAAACAAAATCAAGGAATGTATAGGACAGAAATGCCATTGTTTGGTGAGCTGAAAGTTCAAGTGATGAATGAATATCCACCACACACATTTTGGACAAAGCTTTTGAAGGGAAAGTGTCCTAGGTGGAAGTATTCTACTAATTCTCAGAGGAATCGGAAAAGGGTTCAATATGTTGATGATTTTCCAAAAACACCTGAGGCTGAAAGCACTGAAGCTGCAAAGAGACACAAGAAGCTTGTCAGCGATGGAATTGATAATCCCTCTCCAAAAGCTGTGCTACAAGAGGGGAAATTGGCTACTGGGGACAGGGAAGGTGATGAGCAATGTAAATGCAATCAAGTGCAGTATTCGTAGAAGAGACTTCTCTTTCCTAACTCTATCTCTATCTTATTTTTTGCAGGAAGCTCAGGAACCTCAGCATATGATTTTACTACTTTCAGTAGATCAATAGCTTCTGGGAGTGATAAAATTCACGTGACCTCTACCTCACTTGATTATCCCAATAGTATCTCAAAAATACCAGCTCTTAAAATGATTGATTGGGAGAGCAGAAGAAAACAGTGCGACTCACAAAAGAATCTCCATGTTCTTTTGAGGCCACAAATAGCAAAACTTTGTGAAGTTCTGCATCTCAGAGTATGTACCTTATTTACCACTGGGAGGATTAAATTTAAACGGGTTCAGATCTTGCTGTTAGTTCTTTATCTTGTCAGTCTATAGTGTTGTTATGAACCACGTCTATTTTAGGAGAGGCCATTAATTAATTTTGATTCTGTATTTAAGGCGTAAGTTATGATTTTTTATTTCTTTCCTTAGGTTTATTAATTATGTTTTTTTATTTAAGTTGATTAAGTTTGCTTTTAAGAATAATTTTTAAGTAACGAAACTGGTCCATCCTTAAAAGGACGTATGAACCTAAGTTAGAGTTTTCATCAAAACCCTAAAATGATCTTGGTCTATCTTTTAATAAGTCCTGAGGTTTCAGTCTCCCATTGATGAGCTGAAAGGTTTCAGTCTCCCCCTTGACGAGCTGAACTATTGATCCGAAACACAAGATCGCAAGGTTCATAACAAATGCCTATTTTGTTTACTAGAATGAAAAGAAATCAAAACTAAGGGTTTTAGCAGGAGGGGGATATTTAACTTAGAGATTTTAGTATATGTTTTTGTTAAGATTGGGTTCGCTCTCAGTATGGAATGAAAGACAAGGAAGAACAATAATAGGCAGCAAAAAACTGGTTACTATTTATAATTCCCCAAAATACTCTATCTTGAATTGCAGTGGCTATTGTCTATTATTTCCTTAGAAAACATGCCTGACTGAGTAAAATAGATCATTCAAGTTCCACTTTTTTCATATTTTTCTTAATGTAACTAAAAATGGAAAAAGTTACTTTGTTAGGGTTTTGCGATATTGCATGGTTTAGCATCACATTTGTGGACAAGTTACCCTGGTTGTCAGTTTCCCCTGGATATATGGTGGAAAAAGGGATCCTTTTCTATTTTTTCGAATATAAGGGGCTAGTGATTATAAATATTTCATATGCACTTTGTTTGTCGGTGGACCTGTACTTCTCTTTCTCTGCCATGGTTTTACATTAAGGCCTTACTATTATGTGAACAAGGTATTTTTAACAGTCTGCGGTATGGTCCATTTTCTTTATGTTGCAGGAGGATGTCAAGGCCATGGTTGAAAGATTTCTTGAATACATAATGAATAACCATGTGGTCAATAGAGAACCAGCAACCATTTTGCAGGCATTTCAAATTTCTCTGGTTAGATATTCGTTCTCATATTTTCTTTAGTTCATACTGCTTTTGTGGATGATTGCATCTTTTATATGCTTGATTGATTGTGTTAGGCAGTCATCTACGTACTAGAGGATAAAGTTGTGCTTTTATTTATGCTTGCCTTTTTTTTCATGTTTCATGTAATTTGACGTCAATTTTTGATGCCCAATCATCTTTGTCATAGACAGCTTTTGTGAAATTTACAATTGTACCATTTTCTTCAAATTTCAAGCAATTTGGCTTCAAATTTGTCCATTCATCCTTCTCTAGACAGCTTCTGTAGGATTTGCGATTATATCTTTGTACTGCAAGCAGATATTATGGAGGATCTTGATTTCCATGTTATGGACATTGCAAAAATCTATAACCACATACAAATTTGTCAAGTTACAATACTGTTGTCGATTTGAGGTCCCCTCACCAAAATATTATCCAAAATGTCTGCTTTAGGAGCTGTAGGAGGATCGTGGGTTGCTTTCGTTGATAATCTTAGTAGGCGAGTGCATAGGAGGGTATTGTGGGATCGTTTTAGCCGTTTTGGTAAGGTGATTAAAGTTTTTATACCGTTTGTTAATAGCAGACCCAACTACAAGAACAAGACGTTTGCTTTTGTGCATTTTGCGAGTAAGGAGGATTTGATTGCTGCGAAGGAGAAGATGAACAACGCCCTTGTTGATGGGAGGAGGATATTAGTATCTTTTGCGAAATATAGGAGGAGTAGTGGTCCGAGGAACGTGAATCGCAATAGAGTAGTGGAGGCTGGAGGTGCAGGTGTCGAGGTTACGAAAAGGCCACATGCAGCTAGCCGAGTGGTTGAGGCCAGGAAGAAGGAGATGATGAACAGGTTCCAGGATGGCAGAACATATAAGGATACGGTAGTAGGTGTGAAAAAAGATGAGGGTCAGCAATCCAGAAACCTTGGGGACAGGAGAGAGGAGAAGAACGACATGGATTTCTTCATTCCTTTGGAGGAAAGAGCATGGCTGAGGACTTCATTAACAGGCATCGTTAAAAGGATATTTGAGGTTGAGTTTGTGCAAAGGGCATTGAGAACAGAGGGAATCAATGTTAAGGTAGTTAGATGGGGTTATGCGAGAAATGCATGTTTGGTAGTTTTCCGGTCGGTGGAGGAGAAGGAAGCAGCTATAGAAGATAAATGGGAAGTTTTGTCCTTTTGGTTTGAAAGGTTGGAGCCGGTGATCGAAGAGAAGGGTGTTCCATTACCTTACTGCTCAGTATCCATGACGGGCGTTCCATTAAACTGCTGGTCAGTTTCTTTTTTTACTAGTTTGGCATCGAGATGGGGCAAATTAGTGAAGATTCAAGAACAGACAGCTCAAAGAGTCGACTGCAGGGTGGCTCAGATGTTATTAAGAGTTGAAAGTCCGTTTGACATCCCTCCATATGTCATTTTTAATACACTTGGAAGGTCCTTTACTATCAAGATTAAGGTAGAAAGCAGTGATGATTTCTTCCCTGAGCTTGAGGAAGGGGAAGATGATGAAAGGGTCGATGAAGATGGTTCTCAAGGAGGAACAGTGATTCCTTGGGAGAGGGATTCGTCCGAGGGGAGCAAAGGGGAGAATCGAGGTGGTCTGCAAGGGCAGGTTAATTCTCAGCAGATGTCAGACTCTAGAAGCAGGGTTGAAGAGTGGGTCCGAGATTCTTCAAAGGGAGGTGGACCAATGAACGAGGGGAGTTTGAAAAATTGCGCTGAAGCCGAGGAAAGTTCAAAGGTTGACCTTTGTATCGAGGGGACAGTACTAGGAGAAGGTTGCAGCAAGCAGACTGTGTCAGGGACTTTTTCTGATGGGGGTAAAAAGGTGGCCAGCTTGCAAGGAGACTCCTCGGGGAAAGATAAAGTTGTTCAAGAGGATGGGCTTATTTACAACATGGGAAGGAGGGAAGTATTTGGGCCTGAACAGTTTAGTTCATCACCAAAGAAGAATGGTAAGAAGTCTGAGCCTTCAATTTCAGATACACAGGTTGGATATGGTATGCAGAATGGGGTTGTGCCGCTATCAATGCGAAGACCTTTGGGGGGGAGTGTATCGGGTAATAATGTCGAGAGAGGATATCAGAATAAAGTTTATGCTAGGAGGAGGGCTGCCAAAAGTTGTGATGGTATGGATGATGGTATTGGAGCAGGAGAAAAGAATCAGAGGAGGACAGAAGCAATGGAGTGCTGGACAGTAGCCAATTTATTGGGGGTAAAGTTTAAAGGCGGAGAAAAGGAATTCCTGACCAAAGTTGTCCCTTTGGTGAAGGATAGAGATAATTGAGGGGTGGTAGTTGGTTTAGGGGGTATGGTCATAAAATGCTTTTGATGGTAGAATGGTCCATTATGTGTTGGAATGTTAGGGGTCTGGGTAGGAAGGTTAAAGCACGTGCCATTAGGAGATTTGTAGAGGAGAAAAAACCAACTATCTTATTTTTGCAAGAATCCAAATTGGAAATTGTTAGCACTATGTTAGGTAGGAAAATGGGAGGCAAAATCCTTAATGGGTGGGCAGTTGTGCCTGCTGTAGGTTCTGCTGGTGGCCTAATAACAATGTGGAATCAGAAGGTATTTGTGGTGAAGGATACGGTCATCCGAACTAGATTTGTGGCGTTAAAGGGTTGGTTGGATGGTATGACAAACCATTGTTGTTTCATAAATGTTTATGGTCCAAGTGTGGAGGCTGATAAAGAGCCATTTTTCAGGGAATTACTCTCCTTTCTGGAACAGGTGGACTGCCCAGTTTGTTTAGGTGGGGATTTTAATGCCTTTTTGACGAAGGAAGAGAAAAGGGGTGGTGATGTGAATTTGACGTTGATGAATATTTTTCGAGATTTTGTATCTAAGGCAAATCTAATCGATTTACCCTTAGTGGGAGGTCAGTTCACGTGGTGTAATAACAGGGAAGTTCCCACCTTTGAGAGATTGGATCGGTTTTTAGTTGATCATAGTTTTTTCTCGCAATTCCCAATGATCAATCAAAATCTGCAGCCTAGGTCCATTTCTGATCACAATATCATTCTGCTGGAGAATAGGGAGTGCAATTGGGGGCCAAAGCCGTTTAGATTGTTTAATTATATGTTGGAGGAGGAAGGGTTTAGTGAACTGTTGACAAAAGAACTGTTCAATCGGGGTACACAGGAAAACTCGAGACCCATTTCCAAAACTCTTAGCCGGGTGAAGGATGTTGCAATAAATTGGGCTGGTAAGGGTTTTCTCCAATTACCAAGCAGAATCAGAACCTTGGAGACTGAGATACAGGATATGGAATTAAAATTGCAACAAGGGTCTTCTTTGGTGTCAATGAATTCTATTGTTGAAGCAAAGAGAGAATTATGGGAGTTACAAAAAAAGGAAGAATCAATTTGGATGCAAAAGTCTAGATTGAAATGGAGATTGGAGGGAGATAAGAACACAAGGTTTTTCCATCAGAGTGCAGCAATTAGAGGGAGGATAAACTACATAAAAGCTATCAAAGTTGATGGTGAAATTGTTGAAGACCCAAGGTCAGTAAAAGCTTCAGTGGTGGAGTTTTTCAAGGGGTTGTATAATCAAACAAACACCCTGGAGGCAGAGGAATTAAATCTGGATTTTCTCAAGTTGTCCGAAGGTCAGCGTTTAGCCTTGGAGAAGCCTTTTTCTGAAGAGGAAGTTTGGGAAGCTATTTCTCATTCAGATATCAACAAAGCTCCGGGTCCGGATGGTCTAAACTTAGGATTTTTTAAGAAGTTCTGGCCTAATTTGAAGGATGATATGATGAGGTTTTTTAGGGATTTCTACGTGGGAAAGGTTTGGGAGCCGGAGGTTAACTTCTCCTTCATTTCTCTTATTCCAAAGAAGGCAAATCCGGAGGGATTGGAAGAGTTTAGGCCAATTAGCCTAGTGGGAGGGCTTTATAAAGTCATCTCTAAGGTCTTAGCTAGAAGATTGAGTTTGTATCTCAACGATATTATAAGTCAGTCCCAATTCGCTTTTATTCCGGGGAGGAATATCTTGGATTGCTCTTTCATTGCAAATGAGAGTATTGATTTTTGGAGGAAGAGAGGGCTGAAGGGAGTAGTTTTCAAGGTGGATTTTATGAGAGCTTATGATTCGGTAGATTGGAAAATTTTGATTCAGATTATGAGTAAAATGGGGTTTGGAGAAAAGTGGAGGTCGTGGATGTTCCAGTGCATTTCAACTGCTGAGATTTCGGTCTTGTTAAATGGATCGCCAACGGAGAAATTTCATATAGCCAGAGGTTTAAGACAGGGCTGTTCACTTTCACCTATGCTTTTCAATTTGGCTACGGAATTGTTGCATTTACTGTTATCTAAAGCAGTAGATATGGGATTGTTTTCGGGGTTCGAGTTAGGACTGCAGGACCGAGCATTCAAGTTGTCACACCTTCAATTTGCGGATGATCTTATAATTTTCAGCAAAGGTTCCATTCGTGAGTTGAGGAATATTAGAAGAGTGTTACTGATTTATGAACTTCTGGTGGGGCTGAAGTTAAATCTAGGTAAAAGCAGGATTTTTGGAATCAATGTTGAAGAAGGGGAGCTAACTAATTGGGCTGAAGTTATTGGCTGCTCGGTTGGATATCTTCCATCTGAATATTTAGGTCTGCCTCTGGGGTACAAGAGGAATTCGACTGCTATGTGGGATCCGATAGTGGCGAGATTTAACGCTAAATTGACTGGTTGGATAGCTAATTCTCTATCGGTAGCGGGAAGAGTGGTTTTGGTCAAATCGGTACTATGCTCTCTTCCGGTCTATTTTATGTCTATGTTCAGAATCCCAGCTACGGTGATACTCAAACTTAACTCTATTATGGCTTCATTTCTGTGGGGGGATACGATTGATAAGAAGAAAATCCATTGGGTCAATTGGAAGTCGATCTCTAAACCAAGATTTATGGGGGGTCTAGGGGTCCCTAATCTAGCACTTTTGAACCGAGCTTTATTAGGAAAAGGGTTTGGAAGTTTACTTCTGAAAAGAATTCTTGGTGGAAGAAAGTGATTTGTGCCGCCTACAATTTGGATCCCAAATCTATTATTTTGGGGAATTCGGTGCCAGCTCGTGCATCTTGGATTTGGAAAGGTGTGGTGAAAAACTTTTTCAATAGTGATGATTTTGGAGAATGTCTTAAAAGGAATATGCGATTGAAGGCGGGGAAAGGGGAAGATGTGCAGTTTTGGAATGATGTATGGTTGGGTGATGTTCCCCTCAAATCATTGTTTCCTAGACTTTATGTTCTCTCAATTAATAAATCGGGTAAAGTGAAGAGTTTAGGGAACAGAATGCTTCGGGTTGGGTGTGGGACATCCAAATGAGAAGGAATTTGGCTGATTGGGAAGTAGAACAGTGGATGCAATTGATTTCTATGTTGAATAATACCTCTCCTTTCCCAGTGCAGATGATTGTTGGATTTGGTTAGGGAATGGTGAAGGAAATTTTACAGCTAAATCTTGTATAAAAGCTTTTTATGTACAACGGGACTCTGAGCAAAATCAAGTGAATTGGGATAAGATTATTTGGTCTGGTTTAGCTCCTCCAAGGGTGGAATTGTTTGTCTGGCAGCTAGTACAACATAGAGTACCGGTTAAAGAGGAGTTAGTTAAGAGAGGTGTTGCAGAGATTGTTGACCAACGTTGTGTTCTGTGTGGTAGGGAGGTGGAATCAGTTTCTCATCTGTTTCTGCATTGTAGGGTTGTGTGGGGTCTGTGGTCCTCCTTCTTGAAAATGTGGGATGTGTCATTGGTGACTCCAAAGTGTACAATGGAATTTCTAATTTTGTGGGACGATTTAATGACTAACTCTTTGATTTGGAGATTCATTCCTAGGGCAGTGATGTGGTCAGTATGGAAGTGTAGAAATGAGATTATCTTTCAGAAAGGCAAGCTGGATTTGGTCAGATTATCTTTCATTGTTAGATTCAGAGTGGCTTCCTGGTTCAGTGCTCATTTCAAGGATGCGGGTATTCCTCTAGATTCTCTAGTAGGTGACTTGAAAATTGCTGACTCGATTGGTAGATCAAGAACGGTTTGCTCTCAACCTGCTTGCTGGGTTCCTCCACCGGAGGGGTTCCTAAAGTTAAATGTTGATGGAGCGATGGTTTCGGGGTGGGAAAAAGGAGGTATTGGTGGTCTGTTTCGAGATAGTAGGGGTCAATTGCTTCAGTGGTTTTCTGAAGCAGTAGGGGGTGGTCCTCCTATTTTGGCTGAACTGTTGGCTATCAAAAGAGGGATTTGTCTTATGGAGGAGTTGGATTTTGTCGCAAATCAAAGAGTTATCTTGGAATCAGACTCGTCTAACGCTCTGAAGTGGATTCAGAATCCGGGTTTAACCCCTCATTTGCATCTATCCTTGGTGAAGGATATAATTTCACTTTTGATTGGAAAGGATATTATGTTTAGGCATACTTCAAGGGCGGCAAACTGGGAAGCTGATAAACTTGCTAAAGATGGGATAGGGTGATTTTGGTTATAGTTGTGTTGTTTAACAGGAATTGTTCCTCCCTGTTTTGTTGAATGTCTGTGTTAAGTTTTATGTTCTTCCGTTGGAAGTGTAGGAGTTTGTTCAAGCTTGTAATCTGGTTATTATGAATAAAAGTTTTCTTGGCTCTCTTTTCCTCCTTCGTTGTTCCTTCATGTTACTCTCATAACATGGAGGGATTGAAGGAGGATTTTAATGGGGCCTTTCTATCAAAAAAAAAAAAAAAGCAGATATTATGGAAGTCCTGTTCATACAGAAACCCTTGCTTAGGACGCAGGATCATGCATCTTTCATACCTGGATTTTTATATGCTTGAATCAGTTTTAGATTTTGTGGTGATTGTTCTGATAGTATACCGAGTTGATGAGTTTGTACTTCGTGTCGTCAAATCTGTGAGAAAGTTTTTATTTTGTTTGCAACATTCTGGGAACGTTTTTTGTTGTTTACTCTTGATGTCAAATGGTGAGAACTCTCAATAAAGCAGATGAACTCTCAAATGGTTTGAGTGCATTTTGTATCTTATGTAATTCAGGTTAATTAATAAATTGAGGTCTCTTCTCCTCCTCCAATTAGTTGTCTCTTCATAAGAGCCAACTTTGAGGGAGGTTGTTATTGAGACCTCCTATTCCTATCAAAAAAATAAAAATAAAGTCGTTTTCTTTTTATTTAGAGCCAGCACTGAAAATGTTCTGTCAAGATTTAGCTGCTGAATTTCTAGTGATCCACTCAATAAAGTACGACAGGGTATATAATTTAGATGAATGACTTGATACTTGAGGTTCAATCTTTAAAAATAGTTTAGATTTATATCAAGTATTTCTATAGAGCTGATAGGTCTGTATCTGTATTCCCTCCATTCATTCGTTGATATAAACCTCCTTGTATGAATTTATTTATTAATATATTATGTATATGAGTTCACTTTGATGAATAAAATTATTAATGAGAAACATTGAGCAAATTATTGGGATGTTGTATGTGTACCAGGGCTGCATTTTTGGCATAACCTTTTATTAGATATTCTAGATTTTTTGTTGTGAAAATTATATTCTAGATTTCTAAAATCTTTTCTGTTGCATGGCACATATATTTAAGCTTGCATTAATGATATTCTGGTTCTTTAACGTCTCATTCTTCCGGTCTCTGTGCATTCAGTGTTGGAGTGCTTCGGCTTTTTTGAATCAGAAACTTGATCATAAAGAATCAGTTGCACTTGCAAAGCAGCATCTAGGTTTTACCTGCAGGAAAGAAGACGCAGAGTATGTTTATTCAATGCTGCGGTGTCTGAAGAGAATGTTTCTATACCGTACAGGGTATTTGAAGGTCCCAAACTCTCCTAAAGCTTCTGGACTATCACGTAAAGCTGTTGAAAGAGATCATTCTGATGCAACATCATACCAGCAAAACAAAAAAGCTAAGATTGAAGATTTGTCGGGTTTTCGAGAGGGTTCTGATATACAAACCATTTCAGAGTCCGGAGTTGCCCCAGAAATTCAATTGGCAAAAAGAGATGTTCTAAAAAGCATCAAAAAAATTCAGAAAAAGTGTGATAAGCTGATGAAAAAACAAATTGATAAACATAAGCAAGAAATGGAGCAATTTATCCAGAAGTATGAGGGAAAAAAGTCACAACTTGAGAATAAGAAAAGAACAGAAGCAGCGGTTATCTGTATGCATAGTAATGTCTCAACAAGGACTGACAAGCTCAAGAATTTGGATGCTGAATATGCGAGGGAGTTTGATGAACTAGAACAATGGATGGAGACACATCTTAAGGATCTTGAGGCATTACAAGTGGCAGCAAGAATTAATATTCAAGAAAGAAAGACTCGTTGGGTCGATTCAGTTGAGCACTGGGCTTATGTCGAGTTGAAGTCACCTGATGTTATGAAGAATCTTGTATCTATGGAAGCACCCTCATTGCTAGCACCATCATCTGAAGAATTTTCTGATAAAAGCACATTAAGAAATGTTGCTGGGGAGAACTTGAGAGAATCAGGAACTATCATTACTAGTGAAGGCCGAGAGAACTTTTTCTCATTAGAACCGTCTTCATTTGTAGCAATTCATGATGAATCCAATTTAAACAAAGTGGATGGGGCTGTTCCTTTGAGAGAACCCGTGGTTGCCAATTCTGGTGAAGGTAAGGAGAATCTTGTCTTAGCAGAAGCACTTTCATCTGAAAAAATTCCTAATGGAGCTGTATTAAACGGTTTTGATGGTGAGGTTCATTTGGGAGCTCCTAAGAGTGTCAGTTCTGGGGAAGGTTATGAGAGTTTGCCATCATTTTTGGTACCTTCCTCTGAAGAAATTCCTGGTGGAACCACAATAAACACTGCTGACAGTGAGCTTCCCTTGTGTAGGCCAGAAGCTATATATTCTACTGAAGGTCAAGGGAATATCATGTCTGCTAATTGTTCATTTGAGAAACAGAATCCCGGTGAAGCCACATTGAATGTGCCTCATGAAGAAATTCCAAAGAGTGTATCTGAGATTGCAACTTCCTGTGATGGAATAGATATTATTGTCTGCACAAAACCCTCTGTGTCCAAAGAACAAATACCTGATACAGCTGCATGTTCTATGCCTGCTGAAGAGGTCCCTTTGGCAGAACCTGAAACTGCTCCTAGTGAAGTCCTCGAGGGTGGTGATGTTCAAAGGGTGAATGATGGAACAAGTCCCAATGCAAATGACCAGCAGGATAGTGTACTATGCACTATGAAGAGGAAACAGATACCTAATACAGCTGTATGTTCTATGCCTGTTGAAGAGGTCCCTTTGGCAGACCCTGAAACTGCTCCTAGTGAACTCCTCGAGGGTGGTGATGTTCAAAGGGCGAATGATGGAATAAGTCCCAATGAAAATGACCAACAGGATAGTGTACGATGCACTATGAACAGGGAACATGATACAGCTGCATGGTCTATGCCCGCTGAAGAGGTCCCTTTGGCAGAACTTGATACTGCTCTTAGTGAAGTCCTCAAGGGTGGTAATGTTCAAAGGGTGAATGATGGAACAAGTCCCATTGAAAATGAACAGCAGGATAGTGTACAATGCACTATGAACAGGGAACATGATACAGCCGCATATTCTATGCCTGCTAAAGAGTTTCCTTTGGCAGAACCTGAAACTGCTCCTAGTGAAGTCCTCAAGGGTGGTAATGTTCAAAGGGTGAATGATGGAACAAGTCCCATTGAAAATGACCAACAGTATAGTGTACGATGCACTATGAACGGGGTACATGATACATCTGCATTTTCTATTCCTGCTGAAGAAGTCCCTTTGGCAGAACCTGATGCTGCTCTTAGTGAAGTGCTCAAGGTTGGTAATGTTCAAAGGGTGAATGATGGAACAAGTCCGATTGAAAATGATCAGCAGGATAATGTACAATGCACTATGAACAGGGAACATGATACAGCCGCATGTTCTATGCCTGCTAAAGAGTTTCCTTTGACAGAACCTGAAACTGCTCCTAGTGAAGTCAAGGGTGGTAATGTTCAAAGGGAGAATGATGGAACAAGTCCCAGTGAAAATGACCAGCAGGATAGTCTACGTTGCACTATGAACAGGGAACATGATACAGCTGCATGTTCTATGCCTGCTGAAGAGGTCCCTTCCGCAGAACCTGATACTGCTCTTAGTGAAGTCCTCAAGGGTGATAATGTTCAAAGGGTGAATGATGGAACAAGTCCCATTAAAAATGATCAGCAGGATAGTGTACAATGTTCTATGAACAGGGAACATGATACAGTCGCATGTTCTATGCCGGCTAAAGAGTTTCCTTTGGCAGAACCTGAAACTGTTCCTAGCGAAGTCCTCAAAGGTGGTAATGTTCAAAGGGTGAATGATGGAACAAGTCCCATTGAAAATGACCAACAGGATAGTGTACGATGCACTATGAACAGGGTACATGATACAGATGCATTTTCTATGCCTGCTGAAGAGGTCCCTTTGGCAGAACCTGATGCTGCTCTTAGTGAAGTGCTCAAGGTTGGTAATGTTCAAAGGGTGAATGATGGAACAAGTCTGATTGAAAATGATCAGCAGGATAATGTACAATGCACTATGAACAGGGAACATGATACAGCCGCATGTTCTATGCCTGCTAAAGAGTTTCCTTTGGCAGAACCTGAAACTGCTCCTAGTGAAGTCCTCAAGGGTGGTAATGTTCAAAGGAAGAATGATGGAACAAGTCCCAGTGAAATAGACCATCAGGATAGTCTACGTTGCACTATGAACAGGGAACATGATACAGCTGCATGTTCTATGCCTGCTGAAGAGGTCCCTTCCGCAGAACCTGACACTGCTCTTAGTGAAGTCCTGAAGGGGTATAATGTTCAAAGAGTGAATGATGGAACAAGTCCCATTAAAAATGATCAGCAGGATAGTGTACAATGTACTATGAACAGGGAACATGATACAGTCGCATGTTCTATGCCGGCTAAAGAGTTTCCTTTGGCAGAACCTGAAACTGCTCCTAGTGAAGTCCTCAAGGGTGGTAATGTTCAAAGGGAGAATGATGGAACAAGTCCCAGTGAAAATGACCAGCAGGATAGTCCACGTTGCACTATGAACAGGGAACATGATACAGCTGCATGTTCTATGCCTGCTGAAGAGGTCCCTTCCGCAGAACCTGATACTACTCTTAGTGAAGTCCTCAAGGGTGATAATGTTCAAAGGGTGAATCATGGAACAAGTCCCATTAAAAATGATCAGCAGGATAGTGTACAAAGTACTACGAACAGGGAACATGATACAGCCGCATGTTCTATGCCGGCTAAAGAGTTTCCTTTGGCAGAACCTGAAACTGTTCCTAGCGAAGTCCTCAAAGGTGGTAATGTTCAAAGGGTGAATGATGGAACAAGTCCCATTGAAAATGACCAACAAGATAGTGTACCATGCACTATGAACAGGGAACATGATACAGCTGCATGTTCTATGCCTGCTGGAGATGTCCCTTTCGCAGAACCTGATACTGCTCTTAGTGAAGTCCTCAAGGGTGGTAATGTTCAAAGGGTGAATGATGGTACAAGTCCCATTGAAAATAATCAGCAGGATAGTGTACAATGTACTATGAACGGGGAACATGGTACAGCCGCATGTTCTATGCCTGCTAAAGAGTTTCCTTTGGCAGAACCTGAAACTGCTCCTAGTGAAGTCCTCAAGGGTGGTAATGTTCAAAGGGAGAATGATGGAACATATCCCAGTGAAAATGACCAGCAGGATGGTGGACTATGCTCTATGAATAGGGAATCTGAACTCCGAGAACCGTCATCTGATCTGGTATGTAAGATATTTAGGTTTTATTTATATCAAGTTCAGATTATTTTTGGACTAACATTCTGGGCTATTTTTATTGATAGAAGTTCCTTAAGTTGTCATTTCACACCAAAAAGTAAAGCTAAATATAACAATAAAGTAATATATATCAAGTTCAGATTTAGAGAGATCATACTTTCAATATCCTGCTATGGTGAGCTGCCAATCCAGTAAAAGTATCTTATATTCTTATTTGGGCAGGCTAATGTCAATTCTCTTCCATATGCTTCCTCTGAAGTGCATGCAAGATGCATTGCAAACAATGAAATGCAAAATGCTTCTCAGGCAGCTGAAATTTCAACATGTACTGGTGCCATTGATGTTACTTGCAACATGTCCAATCCTGATGCCACTGTTGTGGAAGTTTCAGAGCAAATGCAGCAGCTGAGATCCTCTGAATCAACTTCTAACCTTTCTCCTCCTGATCTACCTTTTTCTAGTCCAGTTGAACATCCATCAAACAATGAAGGCCAAACTTCCAACCAAAGTTCTCAGGCTCCAAGGCAACCAGTAGCATACCATATTGAGCTCTCCGATCAAGATGTCTTGCAGCCTCTGGATTCATCGATTGATGGTGTTATTGATGGGCTTGTGATGCAGGCTTCAGAAACAAGGACAGCTTCAGTCCCTTCTGTTTCTAATGGCCTTCCCTTGTGGACTGCACCTGCTGTTTCATCTCGGATGCCTGTAACCTTTTATCATGATCCACTTCAAAATGAAATGGAAAGAATAATGAAGGAAAAAGAGCAAACCAACAAGGTTTATGAAGACACGGTTAGTGTTCTGTTTACTTGTTTGCTTATCTACTCAGAGGGATATATAGTTTACTTTCTGCTGAAAAATTCACCTCTTTTGAGCAGAAGCTGCAACTGAAATTGAAATGTGACAAGGAGATTGAGGAGGTTGTAGGTCAGATTCATAGAAAGTATGATGTTAAACATGAGGAGAAAGAAGCAGAATTTCTTCTCCAGATAAAGGAGCTTGATGCAAATTACAGTAAGGTTCTCTTGAATAAGATCTTGGCTGAGGCTTTCAGATCTAAATGTATGGATAATAGGGTATCTGGTTCAAAGGGAGCAATGCAAGGTGAATCTTACATTTACTTGGCAGTTTTAACAGAGTTCAGTATAAGAATATAGTATTATACCAATTATCTCATTATTTTTTATTTCATGCATTGCTGCTTGGTCAGATTAGGGTACCTGATCAATCACAGATCTATTATCTTTTGTAGGACATGGCATAGTTTTAGTCACTTGAGAAAATTTAGAGGCATTTTTTACCGTTGCTTGTCATATTTCAAATTTAAAGAGATTTCATTTTACTCTGTGCGCGCCTTCAGGCAGATAGACTATTGTCAATATGTTCAAGAAATTACTGCTATAAAAAAAGCAAACGAAACAGACCAATATGTATGCCTTGTATGCATGCGTGCAATATGATTTGCCTTTCTGCAATGTTTCATTATTCAAACTGACTGACTAGTTCCCCCCTTCTGGCAGAGGCAAATTCTAGTTTCTTGCAGCAGCTGTTTCAACTTTCATCGCAACAGGTGGTACAACAGCATTCCACTGCTTCTGGTCTCCCTTCAACCAGTTCAGCTTCTAGCATGCCAACTGTTCCATCTGCTGTAGTCAATGCACACACCATGGGTCCACCTCTGCAAGTTGTTAACCCTTTGGCATTATTCTCAGGCACTCCGACTAGACGTCCTCATATCAGTACAATCTCTTCTTCCACAAGAAACCTTCAAACAGGCTCTGAAATTCGTGCTCCTGCCCCACATTTACAGTCATTTAGGCCTTCGTCGTCCATTTCCCCAAGTAGTATCCCATTGCATTCTGGTGGAATGTCAAGTCAGCCGGCACATAGTAACCATCCTGCAGCTTCTATGTCATTGCACCAGTCGAACCCCCTTGCACACATGCAGGCATCAAGTTCAAGCCAATCTGGTAGGACCCAACATGAAATTTCCAGACGTTTCACAGCTCCGCCAAACCCTCGTTTACCATCATTGGATGTTTTAATGGACGTACACAATCCATCAGGTGCCAATGCAAATCCCCCAGGCTTTTTGTTGCCAAATAGTAGTTCAAGGTCGGCTACGAGGTTACATAGGGAACCTGACATGCCTAGCAGTCAGTCATGGTCAGCACAGCAAAGTGGAGGAGCAACCGACATTATTTGTTTATCTGATGATGACTAACCATAGCCATTAGGATGTGATATCCTTTAACTTGGATCCAACTATAGTGCAGTGTTCAATCCAATTAGTTTGTTTTTTTTTTTTGAGTCAAGTGGGGCTACTAATTGATGTGGGAATTGGATATGGGGGCTGAATGAATGTTTATCTAATTTTGCAACATGTATTCTTTCAGTTGCCAATTTTGCTCTTATTGGAGCAGCGGACCAAATCAGTCGCATCCCTGACCTACGAACCAAATTCCGATTGGATGGATGTGCTTAGGTCTAAGTGGACCTTCCATATTTGACGAATTTGATACCTTTATTATTTTCTTAGTGCCGTCTAAACTTGATGATGATAGAAGGCCTTCTTACACGGCGTAAACTGCAGGCTGTGAAGACTGAAGAACCTCGTCATATACATACAACATATTCTCTCGAAAATAAACTCATTAAAAAACGAGTCTGCCTTAACATTTGCACGTAGTACATATCCAAATAGAGTTTGTCTTCGTTCCTGACAAAAAATATTCAATTGGTTTCCAATTTTGGTAAATGCCGCTTTAAAAGTTGAGAGGCATCCATCGAATCAAATAAATTCCAAAATAATTCTACATCAGCTTTATATGTTACGTGCACCTTGCTATGCTTTTGAAAATTAATCTGAAGCTTTTTAGATACAATGCCTAACAATTGTTCAAAATCAGATTTTTTTTTACTCGTAAACTGAGATAATACATTCTTCAATGTGAACCAATTTAAGAACAGAGACACTAGTAAAGATAATGTTGTTGCTTTTATTGACTCTCTTTTACACACTTGAATTAAAACAAACCGGGATTTTTTATTGAATCTGTTGGGGACAGAGCAGCATAATGTCAACGTGCAAATGATGTTCAGAGTTTGATTTGTCAGTCAGGTGCGTCGGAATGCAAATCAGATGGTTTAGTCTCTAACAATGATTATTTTATTATGTAAAATTGCAAATCACATTAAATGTTAGAATGTTGTTCCTCTCACTACTTCTAATGAGGTGCATGGACCCAGTTTATTGATTCGGTTTCTAATATGTCCTTTTATAAATATGTGATAAAATATTAATTAACTTTATTTTATATAAAAAAAATCCTCGCATATGTGATAAACCTAGTATAACTAATTTACCAAATAAATATTAGGATAATTATTTATTTACTTATTTATCATCACATTTTTGTTTTCATCACTTAACTGATATTTTTTTCAAAAGAATGCCTAACATTATATTTTATATAAATTATTTAACAATTTACTAATGACTTAATAATTTATTTATCATTATTAAATTATTTTGAATTAAAATGAGAATCAAAATGTTAGGATCTTTAAAAATAATGGATTTATTGAATTATTTCAAATTATGACTAATTTGATAAAATGAATAAGTTTTCAGGACTAAAACTTTCATTATACCATGTTACATCAAGTCAACTATCAAATCTAACTGCAGGTAGGAATGGCAACGGGTCGGGTTCGGGGCGGGTTTTGCTCGCCTCGTCCCCGAACCCGAAATGAATCCCTGACCTTGAATCCCGACAGGGTTTTTATCGGGGTGCCCCGTAGGAGATTTTTTTGCCCGTCCAAACCCAAAATTATAGAACCCAAATATTTTATATAATTAATAAAAATAAATATATTAATATAAATATTATATATATATATATATAATCGGGGTGGGGATACCTTGCCCCGAACCCGAACCCGACCCGAAAAAATCCCCGAAACCGAACCCGACCTGATCCAAACTTGATCGGGGTTTGGGTTTCCCCGTCGGGTTCGGGTCATACTGCCATCCCTAACTACAGGTGACTAAATATGTAATTGACCCTTATTCATATTTAGGGTAAATTATCCATTTAGTCAGCCAACTATCATTTTAATTCTATTTTGTCATCCAACTATTTTTTTAAATCATCACTAATGTTACGTTTTGGTCACATGTCGTTAAAAAATTAACGCTAATGCTAAAAAGTCACCATAAGATGATGTTGCATCATCATTGAAAAAAATAAAAATTCCACTTCAACAGCTTTATTATTTCAAAACAGTTGGATGACCAAAACATAACTTAGTGATGATTTCAAGGGGAAAATAGTTGGATGACTAAAACAGAACCAAAGTGATAGTTGGGTGACAAAATACATAATTTACCATATAAATAAATATAAGCATGGCTAATTTCATTATCATGCTTGTCTAATATCTCGATTGGAATAATTAATCTCTGCTCAAACTAATATCACCGCCTATTGCAAATTTGATAATAAGATTGATTTAGATCATGTTAAATTTTGTAAATAGTGGGATTGAATTAATTTTATGATGAAAATTTATGACCTAAATTGACTCGAGATAATACTATAATTTTCTTTTTACTATAATTTTTTTTTAAAAAAAAAAAAGAAAAAAAAATCAATAACCATGACACGACTTCAAATGAAGCACGACAAAGTGTTGCCAGTGATGTAATTCGTGTTAGCGATGGAACCTAAATCCTTGGTTTCACACGACACATAGGATTATGCTCGCCTATGCAATGGGCATATTCACAGGTTAATATGTACTATGGGAACACGGCCATGAACGAGTCATCTTACAATCGAATTGCAGGGAGGCTATTCGGTTGCTTGAAGACGATGCTGCTGCTTCTAGACACAGTTATCTATCACGAGCAATTGGAAACTCGAGGTGCCAGAGTGGGAAACACATCTTCGGTGGATTTCCCATGAAGCAAACATAGTAGCGGATGCTCTCGCTAAGCTCGGATTCTCATGTCCTGCTGATACAACAATCCTCATGTCCTGCTGATACAACAATCCTCGACACTCTTCCATCATCTATATTAGACTTTCTAGATAGAGATGCCCAAGGGTCTCCATATCTGAGATAGAACTTTAGGAGGTGTAACTCTTTTAACCCGATCTAAAAGAAATGAGTCGAATTCAAAAGAGCTCATTAAATCTTGTCTCTCAAGGAAATCCATGTTTGATTTAAAAAACTTAAAATTTACCATTCAAATTACTGAAACAATAGTCGAGTTCAAATTCAAAATTTTATTAATATTCAAAAGTTCAAAAACATTCTAAAATAAATAATAAATGTCTGATAATGCATGCATAAACAATTTTAAAAATAATAGCAATATCTAAAGTCTCATTTATAAATATAATAATCTCAAAATATAAATGACTGATGAGAGAAAAGTCGAATAAAAATCATATTGAAACAGTAGTTTTATCTAAATAAGAAATGTGATTCTCCAAGTATTGGTTCGCCTAAGACTAGGTATTTGAAATAATAGTTTTATCTGAATAAAAAATGTGATTCTTCAAGTACCGGTTCACCTAAGACTGGGTATTTGAAAAAGAAACTAAAATTATATAAACTAATAAACTTAGTGTATCTTTAAAGTGCATCAAGTCACAAATTGTCAAACACAATCATAAATTGAACACAAATTTAATGGCATGAAATTATACATGAACAAATGCATTCATTCTCATTACATCGTCTGAAGAGTAGGTTCTCCAGAATCACTCTCTATAAACACGTTTGAAGTGGGAGTACGTCTCGTAGGGAGGAACACAATGATTATTACACTTGACTCTAACAGTGGGTCATACCGAATCAACTATTACATAATAAAATATAATGATTTATTGCCTTAATATAATGTTAGAATTAATCGAATATTAAGATGTTAAACTAGTACGGTCCATTATGATAACACGGGTCAGTTCAATACGAGCAGGTAAAGGTAGAGGAGGTAGTAATTCTGTCTCCATATTAAAGTCTAATACAAAAATTACGAAGTTCGACTCAAATTCTAATTACGCATTTTTTTATTATTGAAACGTTAAAACGATATTTAAAATAATTATCGGTTTGAAAGAAAAGAAAGTAGGTAGTAGGGTGCTGGTCAGACGAAGGTGGATGTCGGTTCTACCACAACCCATGATTGTTGGCGTCAAGTACCAAGACAACAACCCCGACTAAGAGAATGACAACCTTCACAGCTGTCCCGGCGAGAGCAACAACGTTTAACAGTAGAAACTTTGTCAACTGAGGTGCTGCTCTGTTCCAAACGACAGCTTACATTTGGAATGAAATTAACAATGCTTAATGTGACAACCACCCAACCAAAACAAAAGAACAAGGAAGAGGCCATGTTTCGAATGATTATTTACGTTTTGTTTCAATAATTATAATTTTTTTTCTAATTATATATTTAATTTATTATTATAATTGTAAATTTTAGTTGTAATTTGAAATATTTTTTAATTAAAAAAACTTAGGGTAGGGATAAAAGAATTGAATGAATATAATGTTTAGGATTTTCCCCGTTCTCTCTACTACTTCTATCGATTCTTTTTCTAATCCTAACTTCTTAAATTTGTTTTTCTTCCTTATTTCTTTATATTACTGTTTTAGTCAATTACAAAACCTAACGAAATATTAAACGGAAAAGGAAAAAATAATCTCGAGGAAACTTTCTTCCCACTTGATTTGCATGCAGGTAAGTCCGTACTTCTCTATTATGGAAAATCACAATCGTGTGGAAAATTATAAAAATGGGTCAAGTTCGTCAGTTTTTTTTTTTAGTTTGAACAGCTTGCGATTGGATTGAAATAACTAATTTTGCGTATAATTGATGGTAATTTTCGTTATCGACTATATCGGTGGCTTGAGTTAGGTTTTACTTTTTAGGGTTCCATGATATGTTATTGTTCTGATTCCCATGGTACTACTACTAATATTCTTTTTTTTTCCTCCTCTTATATATGATTTACATTCATGATCGGCTTAGTTTATGCATATGCTATACTCGTATTTTTTAGTAATATGATCACCTATCAAGTTAATGTTGTGAACAATTGGCTTTTGATGTGAAATAATTGTGAGTTTCTGCTTCATTATCTATGCACTGTTGTTTTAATATGATATTTTTATTTGCATTGAAATCGAGCAAGAAGGTGAGCAAGCTGAAGAGACCCAGAAGAAGAGAATGACTGTTCGTTCGTATAAAGCATTGTTCACGGAACAACCCAATAAAGTTGATGGAACAGGTACTACCTTTTGTCATTCTTCTTGCTGTACAGAATAATACAGATCGTGCCATGTGTTATGCTGTTTTTTATTTGCATGTATAATCTGTAAATGAAATTATATTCTGTAGCTTGGATGTTGGTTTGAGAAATTTTTTCTTTATTTCTCTTCTGTAGGTTTTTATTTGATTAATGTATCACTCTTAGACAATTGCGCTTGTTATGTAGATTGTTTCAATGATCT